CTCCCCGGCCTTCTTCCTCCTTGGCTTCCCATGCCTCGCTTGCGTTCGCTTGCTGACTTGACTGCCCTTGGCGGACCTTCTCACGCATCGCAGCCGTCTTGGCTCGCTCGTCTGCCGGCCTCCCGAGGTTTGGGCCTGCTCTGTCGCTTCCCGATCAACATGCCCAAGAACACAAGCAATGCCTGCCTCCCTTGGCTGAAAACGCTTACTTACTGGTAGAGCTGCTCAAAAAGTCTGGGCATTGACAAATCTTCACGGTCGTCGAGTCACAACGTCATCTAGAAATAGCCGCGTCATGTCATGCCTCTGTGGGGGGTATATTTCTCTAAACTATAACAACATGAAGACAGCGCCAGTCCATCCAGTCTACACGCACACGCAATCAGCTCTCTTCCCCTTCCCCAGCAACAGAAAGGGGAAAGAACAAGATGATTAACCCCATGTACCACCGCCGCCACCGCCACGTCCAGCCTTCCTCTGCGCGCTGAGCCTCCAGTCGTCCTCGCCGGCATACTTATTATGCAGCGGCTGGATCCTCTCCGCCTTCTTCCTCTTGGACAACCGGTCCGTCGGGGCAACTTTGAAGAACGTCGGTGCTGCGTCGACGAGCCACTTGGGCTCGATGCTCGTCGTGCAGTGCATGTACTCCTTGGTCGTGAGCACCAGCGTGTGGTAGATGACCCACTCGGCCTGCTTGCCGAACAGCGCCGAGCTCGGGTGCAGGTACACCGGCGTGCCCTCGATGAGCGTCTTGTAGCCCTCCTGCGGGTCCTTGCGCGCCGCGTTGCGGAAGAAGCCCGAGCAGAGCGCCTGCCGCACGATCTGCGTGTTGCGGCCGCAAGACGCGACCGGGTGGCGGTAGCGGTCCATAATCTTGACGAGCTGGTCGTGCACGTCCTTGGCGCGCTTCATGGAGCGCGCCTGGATGAAGTTCTCGAAGCACCACGGCGCCGAGTAGCCGCTCTGCTTCCACGAGTTGTAGACGTTAAGGAGCGTGAGGTGGTCGCCGTGGGGGTCGTGGAACTTTGCCTTCTTCTGGTCCGCTTGGGATTGCTTCTCCTTGGGACGGTAAAAGACGTTGGGGAGGTTGAGCATGGCGACGATGATGAGCATCTCCGCTGAGCAGTGCATGTCGACTGAGATGATGAGGACCTTTGCCAGGGATGGCTCCATGGGGAAGTCTGCCATTTTGCGACCGAGACGGGTCAGCAGGCCTTCGTCGTCAAGGGCACTGAGGGCGTAGAGTTCTTCCAGGGCCGTGAGCATAGTGTTGATTGGAGGAGGGTCCATAAAGTCGAAGTGCAGCAAGTCGTTGATACCCATCGCCTTGAGCATAAGAATAACGTGGGACAAGTTCTGACGCTGGATTTCAGGAATGGTTGTGGGCAACATCTCGGACTGATACGCGGCTTCGGTGTACAGACGGAAACACTTTCCAGGTCCCGTACGACCGGCTCGTCCGGCACGCTGGTTTGCTTGTGCCTGGGAGATGGGAGTGACGACCAAGGAGTCCATACCCAGCTTAGGATCGTAGGCGTTTTGCTTGACGAAGCCGGGATCGACAACGAAGTAAATGTTGTCAATGGTGATGGACGTTTCGGCAATATTGGTTGCGATGACTACCTTTCGGCAGCCAGGCGGCGCGGGGTCGAAAATGCGACTCTGCATTTCGTTTGGAAGGGCGGAATAAACGGGCAGGATGATGAGCTCTGGGACATTGGGCCCTAGAGCTTTCATGCGCTCGTATAAAATCTCGCATGACGTGTCAATTTCTTCCTGGCCCGTCAAGAACAACAGGATATCGCCAGGAGGTTCTGTCAGGTGAATCTGCATGACGGTGACCAGTGCGGCGTCCAGGTAGTCTGACTCTGGCTCACGAGAGTAGAGAACCTCGACAGGGAACGTTCGACCCGGAATAGTGAAAATAGGGCAGCCGTCAAAGTAGGATGAGAATTTGTCCGCGTCCAGGGTTGCTGAGGTGGCGATGACCTTCAGGTCCTTGCGGCGCTTCATCGTCTTCTTCAGCAGCGCAAACAGGACATCCGTAGAGATGGTACGTTCGTGAGCCTCGTCCAGCATAATGACCGAGTACCGCTTCAGATCCGGGTCCACCAGAATCTCACGCTGAAGCATACCATCCGTCATGTACTTGATCTTCGTCGCAGGACTGGTGCGGTCCTCGAATCTGATGGTGTAACCAACGGCCTCACCCAGCGGTGTGCCGACTTCCTCGGCTACACGCTTCGCAACGGACATGGCCGCCACACGACGAGGCTGGGTGCAACCGATGACACCGTTGTTGGCGAAGCCGTCTTCTGCAAGATACTGCGTAAGCTGAGTCGTTTTGCCTGAGCCAGTCTCTCCAATGACGACCATAACCTGGTGATCCCGGACGGCATCCAAAAACTTTTGCCTGAAAGCATACACAGGAAGCGTCTCTCTCTGCTCCTTGATGCTCAAATTTGTCCGCCTGCCGAAGGATTGGTCCTTGGGTGCTACCGCACGCTTCCACTCCGGCACGGCGTCGGGCTTGTTCTGATTCATCTGCGACTTGGCGTTGCGTAGATCGCTGGCGAACTTGCGCTTGTCGGGGTCCGCCATCGGGTCGTTCCACTGAGCGGAGAGATCGACCTTGGATTCCTCTGCAGCCGCAGCTTCCGCTTCTTGTTGTTTCAGCTCCTTTCTCTCCTTGGCCAGCGCTGTGCCTGACATCGCAGCACGGTTCATCGACCCATCTGGCGCTTTCACGACTCGGATGGGCGACAGTTCGAGAGACTGCTTCGTCTGACCAGCCAGGAATGGCGGCTCCTCCTCGCGCACTTCGATATCAACATCCTCTTCCAGCTCCAGCTCGGCCTCTCCCCTCAGCGTCGCGTTGTAGTCCTCTTCCAAGTCAGGGTAATCCGAGGCCTTCGCAACGCCCGAAGCAATCAGCTGCCGGATCTCCCATCGCTCAGGCGAAGTCATCCGCTTCTTTTGTCGGCGCTGTCCGGCCTGGTGTTGTGGCGGTGGCATAACTCCGTTGTCGAACATGTTTCCATCCCTGCCACCACCAAGTGCCTCCATGTTTGCGCCCGACGATATCCTATCCTGGGGGTGGAGGTCCATGCCAGTCTCTTGGTCCACCTCCTTCATCGACAGGCCTATCCTGTTGCCCTCAATATTGACGACCTTGACCTTGACATCCTGGCCTCTTGTCAACAGGTCGGAGGGGTGGTTCACACGCTGCCCCTCCACCAGTCTCGAGATGTGCACCAAACCATCCACCTTTCCACGGACGCCATGCAGGTTGACGAATGCGCCAAAATCCTTGATGCCAGTGACATGGCCGCTGTAAACCTTGTGAAGTTGTGGCGCATCGTCGACCTCGGGTTCTGGCGCTCTCCTAAAGCGACTATCGTCTTCGTCGTCGTAGTTGCGCCTTCCTCGGCGTTGCTTCAGGGAGGGCCCGTTCTCGTATTCGTCGACGGACCTCGACCGTGACCTGTACTTGTCTCGTTTTCTGCGGTCCCTCGACCTCGATCGATCCCTCCTCTTCCGCCTCGACTCCCGACCATCGTTCGGACTGCGACTGCGTTTGCGCGAAGACGCCTTCTCGCCCCGGGCCTTACCCTCCAGTCCCTCCAGCAGCGCCAGTGTATCGTCAATCGCGTCGCCGTCGCCGATGCTGTCGTACGCGACGGCCTTGTCGGGGACCGCGAGGCCCTTGAAGATCTGCTGGTTCTCCTCCGCGCTGCGGTGGTGGTGGTCCTCGCTACTGTCGCCGTTCTTTTGCGCCTTGCCCTTGAGCTTCGGGTGCATCGTGAGCACGAGGCGGTCGACGCTGTCGACTAAACTCGGGGGGAACTCGGCGCCGATGGCGGCGAGCTTCTTCTTGAAGGCATCGTAGTCCTCGGCGTCGACTCGCTGGGCGATGATGAACTCGGCGAGGGTCTTGTCGGAGACGCCTAAATGATTCTGCAACTCGGAGGTGACCTTGGAAACGAGCGACAAGAGCTCGAGGTTCAAAAGGTCATCCATCGTCGCGATGTTGTTGTGGAGAAAAAGAGCAGTTGCCGGGACCTCGTTGATGGTCGCTGAGGCCTCAAAAAAGTTCCCAGCTTAGTTACACGCTGCGCGACGCCGGGAGGCATGACGGATTGGCTGGCTGGCGTTGTCGGAGGAAATAGCCGCCGCGTTCCGGCAGCACCTGGGGCACGGACCCGGTTTCTCAGCGGCTTCCAGCAAAACTGCAGCCAAGTACCTCAAGTACCTTGCCAACAGCTGCAGATGTGGAGAGTTGATATCCACTTCCGGAATACAAGAGTCCAGATTCTGCATGTGAATCTTTGCGTGGTCGCACTAGCCCATTCGTCGTGGTTGTTTGAACACTGATATGCTGCAATTCAAAGAACTCTAAAGTTATCGACTTCTGAGGAACATAGCCCTTCAAGCTTCAAAAGCACTTTGAATACTTGCCGTTTGATATTCCACCATGTCACCCCCATCTCTACATAGGTCGAGCAATTAGAGTAACCTCCCCGTTGCTTTGGTCCATGTGGGGTTTCCCGCGATCTAACGAGATGGCCGTCCGTTCATCTGCATCCTGCATTGGCTTCATGCAGGTCCATTGGTGATGTCAGGTCACCTTAAGCTTCCCTGTATGTAAGAGATGATACACTTGAGCACATTGGCAGAGACGCAAGACGAATGGAAACGTATGCTATGTGGTATTGAAAGAGACCCCGACGCCGGGTGTAATGATATCCTTGGGTCATTATCATGGATGCTAGCCTACTGTCCACTGAGGAGCGACTTCTATTCGCACTCATATCCGCGCAACTGTATCTGGGTATTTTGATTGCGAGCAAACCGTGCTCGTCTGATGCCTGCTGATGGTCCTCTTGATCGCACAAATCATGACCTGTAAAACTTTTGTGTCGTGCCACGGGAGCTGGGTCCGTCATGCCTCTCTGTTCCCGTGTTCTATCGAACCAAAACGTATCGTGAGGATCGGTGTCTTATTGCACCAGCTTCTCGAAAATGTCAATCAGGCTTCGCACGCCCTTGAGCACGTTCTCGTCAGGGCCCTGGCCGGGCACCCACTGCGCATGGGCAAAGTCGATGAGCTTCAGCGAGTAGATCTTGGGCAGGGCAGGGCCGTCGTCCTCGTCGTCATCGTCTTCGGCATCGAGGTTCGCGTCTCCCTCGATCAGCTCAATACCACTATCCACTCTGGCCGCATTTCCACTGGGCTTCTTGCCCTGCGCGGCCTCGTAGCTATCGGCAGCCGCGTTGTTCTGCGCGATGGCTTCCTTCAACTTGTCGCCGTCACCCTCAAAGACGAACAGCAGACTGGCAGAGTACATGCGACTCTCTTCGGCGGCGAGGACGCGCTCAACGTTGCGCAGGTCGCGCAAGAAGACCTGAGCGACGGCGTTGCCAAGGTCGTCGTCGATACCGGCGGTCTTGTTGAAGATGAACTTGCGGAAGTTCTCGACGATGTTATCGGCGTTGACGTGGATGCGGCCGTAGTCCTTGTCATAAATCTTGTAGTCCTCGGCATCCAGCTCGGACTTCATGGAGGACCCGCGGTAGACCTTCATGCCGGCGATTCTGAAGCCCAGGGGGCCGTGGGTGGTCTTGGAGGTGATGTCGTCGAAGCGCTTCTTCTTCTCGGCAGGGGCATCGTCGGCCCACAGGCGCACACCGAGCTTGACGTCGAGGATGTTGGGGGAGGTGAAGCCAGCTCCCGAGTTCTCGAGCACGATAGCCTGGTCCGTCTTGATCTTCTTTGACTTGTTCTGCACCCACTTGTCCTTGTCCTGCTCGGCGGGAGCCTCACCGGTGACAGCCTGTGTCAGTTCCTCTTTGGCGGCTTGTGTCGCGACGGGACCAGGGGCACCGTCTTCAATGGAGCTGAGCTCTGCGCTGTCGTTGAGCTGGAGGGTGCCCATGTACAAGGGCATCAGCTCGGCGAATTCTGGGTGTGCTTCGTTGGCGGAGTTGTAGAAGTCGACCTCTGCGGTCGTGCAAGGCTTGATGAAGAGCTCGCCGGACTCGTCGCACATGGTTCCTGCACTGCATTCGAGGCAACGTTAGAGACACGTCCCAAGTGATGTTGCCCAGCTGGCGCATCGCGGATCGCGAAAAGGGGGGCAGCAGTAGGCCGACTCACTGTCCAGCAACGGTGTGACCGTAGTCGACGAGCTCGGCTTTTGTAGGAAGCGCCTTCTTGACCATCGTGTCTGCACTGTTGACGAAGGTTGGAAAACAGAAAAGAGTGGTGTTCAAAGTCGAAGTCGAGTCAACCTCAAAGGTAGTCAGGGGGGATCCTAGGATTGTCTCGCGCTCGTGCAGGTAGAAGTTGGGGTAGCGGAGTGATTTGTATCGGATTTGTTGCAAGCGGCAGCGGCAGCGGCAGCAGCAACGGCGTGGCAATGAAAAGGATTTGGGGGTAAAAAGCACAGAGCAAATGTCCAAGAAATCAGTTTCCGGCAAACGGCAGTGTGAAGGCTTGGCGACGGGAGCGAAACGAGGCACAGGAGGAGCGGATCGACAGTCTGAACAGACGAGACGAAGGCGAGGAGGGAGGGGGGATCTTTAAGGTGCAGCAAGTCGGGGACAAGGTTCTCTGAGAAAGAGGGAGAAGACGGAGAGAAGGACAGGGACAGAGAGAGAACGAGGCGTGGTCACGATGGATGGAGGGATCGATGGAAGCTGGCCGGGAATTCGAGGGAAAATGAAAATGGCATTTGGGCTGGGTCTGATTGATTGCGCTCCGCATTGCAGATACAACTGCTGCAGGGCACTTTAAGCACCCCCAAGTTACTTTTACAGTGGACACCGCTGTGACTCTGGTCGCAGCTGCCAATAAACGTGTGGAACTGCGTCAGATTTGATGGAAGCGCATGCGCGCCTCTGCGCAGGCGGCGTGTGGGCGGCATCACCCTCACCTCACCCACCTGCCCAACCGCCTCAGGGCCTCAAGGCCTGAAGGCCTCCAGTGTTCCTGGCCCAGCCAGTAACCGCCAGGCGTGGCCGCGGGAGGGTGGCAGGGAAGGAGCCCTGAGGGAGGAAGCAAGAGGGGGGCAGAAGCGTTCTTTCCCACCTTCTCCCAAGGATCTCCGCCTGCGAAACGACGCTATTTTTCTGGAGACCCCTGTCCGACGCGTCCCTCGTTTCTGTGCCTCCCTCCCGCGCTTTTTCACTGAGGCCTGTTCAAGCGGTCGTTGCAGAGGCAAGAGGGGAAAAAAAAAAGGTGGCGGATGTCACTCAGCCACCAGCGAACCTCGTTACGTCTTACTCGCGCGAGCTCTCGACCTCCTCTTCGACCCCTCGTTCGCTCAGCTGCCCTGTCGATCCTCTCTCTGGTTCTCCTCCCAGTCCGCCTTGTCCAGCTGTTGGCCCTTGTTGATTCGTGTCCAAGGCGCACACGCTCTCGCAGACGTGAACCATTGGCCTCCGACTCTCGAGCCACTCCCTGAGCAATGGGGCAAACCACCCAAACGTTGAAAGCCGCAGTTCGCTTTCGCTGTCGGCCGAGTCGGAATACTCTAATTCTTATTACTGCGTTGCATCGACGATTCGACGGTCTACCAAGGTGCCTTACTCAACCTTGCCCCGCCTCACTCTACATCTTCTGAATTTCAAGGACATTAGTACATACGGATACTTTCGCAAAGGAGAGATCGCCAGGGGTGCCAAAAGCGCCCTGTTCGGACTCCAAGGAAGGATACAGATACGTAGGGTGGTGATGTGCAGCCTGCAGGTGATGCGTCAGACCCAATGATACCGTCGACAAAGACGCTCAGCCGGCCACGATCTGACGCAGAACAGAGCCTATCCGAGGTGCCTTCCACTCTCCCACTTTCCCTTGCTCTTGGTCATTCGTCGATGGTGGCATGACCGCATGCGATCGATGACGGGGAATCTCGAGACGGCGACTTTTGTCGACGAAACGTTGCTGTCCAGCTTCGCTTTCGCCGGATTCTGGAACGAGAAGCACGTTGGACAGGTGTATCGCGACACTATCCGCAGTGCATTTCATCGCCACTTTCAAGATGACCCGAAAAACTCTATTGGACCATCGCAGTGATCTCTGATGGTTCTAGAAGCAAGCCGTGAATGGGAATTCTCTTCTCACCGCCATCGGCAACGACTCCCACATCAAGTGATGGACAGCCCGCCAGAGGATCTACCAGTTCAGCCATGGATTTTCTTGCGTATGCGAGCCAGGCGAGCTGCCTGGCGTGCTGCGCGCCTTCGTCAGCCGTCATCCACTCCTGCGGCGCGTTACGAAGTGCATCCGTCTGCACCGCACCAGAGACTCCGCCCCAGCTTCCGCCTCAGGAATGAGTTGGCAAAGCCGTCTTGCAGATTGCAGCTCGCTTTTTCCCGTCGCGTCCCACAAACTTCCAATATCTCAAGAAACTTGCATCTGTGCCCCCTAAGCGAATTCCATGCTGCTGGTTTTCATTGGATTGCTGCGAGCGTTTGCCTGGCGATCACTTACACCCGATAGTGGGAAGCCATCATGCGATTGGATCGCATGAAATCCCAAGATGGAAGCCTTGAGTCCGATCTACGACCAACACCGAAATTCCTGTTTGGCAATTGCTGCAACAGGAGGATGCAGGAAACCTTCGATTGGTGGCTTCAAACAATTTCAAGACCGCACTTACCGGTATGCTTGTGGGCATAGTTTGGTAGAGGTAACCGGCAAACACTCGTTTGCGTGTGTCGTTTGACATCGTGATATCAGTTTGCAGCTTCTTCCGAGGCCCTTTATCGCAAGGCCAGACTTTTGCTCCTGATGGTGATATTTCTAGATATCTCAGTAGAATAACTGGCAAAATGGGCAAGACTTCCTTAGGAGGTCGCTCCCCATGTCAAGTCTAAGTCTCCGCTTGCCTAGAATTGATGAGGAAAGTGCGCAGATATATGTGACTTCCTGCCGAAAATTCTTAATTCTGGCTTCATTGTCCAGGATCTTTCTTCGCTACTTAATTAGATGAGCTTCGGGGGTCCACCACTTCACCTCCGACTTCTTTAGCTGGGCAGCCACAAAAGAACAACTCCTGCTCGAGGTCGTCAAACGGCCAACTTCTCCATCCCACACTACCAACAGCCAACCTTCACCATGGGCGGCAAGACCACAGTTAGTCGCGGGCCTACGGCTCTTCCCAAATCCCGTGGCACCGGATTTGAGGGTAATTACTATTGCGAATATCACCACCCGTATCACTATGGCTGACTGTTTCTAGAGTATTTTGCCGACCCCCCCATGACACCTGCCGAGGCCAAGGAAGAGAGAGAAAACATATACAGCCCGTAAGTATCTCCGAATCCTTCCGTTTCGGACCTCATACTAATCAGTCTCAGTCTTATACCCTTCGCCGAGTAAGAATCATCCTCAGCACCTTCCCTGGAACTCTTGACGTCGTGACTTCTGACAAACGCAACAGCCGCATCCAGTCATGTATTCAACGCTTCCGCTCCCGTCGTCGCATCACTGGCACCGAGTCAACCCAGCTGTTCAACCAGTACCTTTTTCTTGGCGGCGTTGACACCTCCCCTCGTCTGTTCGGCGGCAACATCGACGCAGATACCGAGGGCATGACCCCCGACGAGCGCCGAACTGCAACCGCGACCGACGTCGTCTACACCTCCGGCGGCGGTAGCCGCTTTTACAACGCAGATGAGCCCGAGGGCTGGGATGTCGACTTCGCCGGCGTGGCCGCGGGCTTCTTGTCGGAAAACCTTCCTGCCATGGCTAACTGGGACTACTTGCGAATGGGCAAGGCGATTGGAATCATTGAGAACTTCCTTACCTACATCCTGCAGCACGATGTCTGCCCCGAGTACACCGACAACATCAAGGAAGCCATGGCCGTTTGCAACCTGGCCAAGATCGATCTCCCTCTCGCGCACCAGGCTCTCATCCACTTCCCCGGACAGTTCAATCTGGCGCTGTCTGAGATGTTCTGCAAGGGTTTCGACTACATCCATGACGACGATACCGCTGGGTTCGCCCGCCCCAAGGACTTTGACCCTACTGCGGTGGTGAAGCTGGCGATGGGAGTCGGTATGATCTGCATGGGCGTCGACAAGACCAAGGCAACGTCTCTGATCCATGCGGTCAACAATCCCAAGACGAGCAAGGTCAAGATGATCTACGAGGAGGAAATCAGCATGGAGGTAATCAACATTCACCGCGCCAGCTCCTCTGTCCGCGAAATTATCGCTGGCGTTCGAACCAACGGAGGCATGCCTGACGGATTCGCCCCCATGGGCAAGCTTGTGCTTAAGCCATGCATCATTGAGGATGGCTATGATCATGGAAACTACGCAGACGCGTCCGACGACGAAATTCACACTTTTCTCGTGGACGACGACATCCTGGCTCGCATGATGCCCGGCTTCAAGCTGCAGCTGTGCGTTGTCCATCTCAACAATGGCGTGTCGTTCATCAAGCAGGTCAAGGCTGTTCTGGTATCGTGGCATACGTACCTCCCCCAGAACCTCATGACGCACTTCAAGGAGCCCGTTGAGAATGATCGACCTGCTCCGACGGTGAAGAACCCCAACGCCGAGGATTACAATGACTCGTTCGACAAGAGCATGTCCGACGAGTAGGCTGTCTACTTGTCACTGACTGGAGGAGGACTCTATGATATAGCCAGGGACGGGAAATGGAGAAAAGGATGGAAGCACGGTACTAGGGGAATTCAAGACTTACAACAAGGTTGCATGGGTGGCGTTCAGGGACTATCTAGATACCCCATCGATTGCAGACAGCGGCAATATTCAGGATGAAGACGAACAAAAAGCGATGCAGCCACTGCTTGCAATGTATTAAAATCCATAACTCGTACACAGCGTGATAACTCATAAATCCATAACGCCAAAACCCGGCGGGAAGTTTCACCAAGAAAATCCCCCCACCTCCAAAACTCGAGATCAATTTACACAATTCAGCCCGTCTATGACATGTCTAGGACACCCCACATTCGACGCTTCAAGACTCAGAACCAGCAACGGACGCAGTCGGCAAATCTGTATAGACCACGCCTCTGCGTCTGGTATCCTTGACCGAGTGCCTCTAATCTCTCGTCTGAATCTTGTTGTCGCCCGCGACGGCCTGGGCGTAGCTAGGCGGCACGGCGCCGTCGCTGCTGCCCTCGCCGGCGCCGCCCTGGGGCTGCTGTCTGGAGCCGCCGGCGTTGTTGCTCGTGGTGCCGTAGGTGACGTTGGCGCCCTGCTGGTGGTGCGAGGGACGGGGCTGCTGCTGGGGCTGGCGGGTGTGCGGAGCGTTTCCGTTGCCGTTGCCGTGGACGAAGACGTACGTCACGCGGCCGCCCTCGCGGTCCTGCTGGGGGAGGGACTCGTACTCGTAGTCTGGCTCGGGGAATTTGGCGATGATGTACCAGGCGTGGATGAGGCCGGGGATCTGGGACGGGGTGTTAGTATGTTGGGAGAGTTGGGTGATTGGGAGGAGGGAATGCGTACGTAGCCGAGGAGGCAGAGGAGGATGTTGATCATGGAGTCGGCGGAGCAGATGCCGCGCTTCACCCAGACTGCAATTCGGTGTTAGCTAGTCGTCCTTTGGTGCGAGATCGTCTGATGCGGGGAGAAACGTACCAGGTAGAGGGGGGAAGAGCAGGGCCAAGAGGCCGAGGAAGATGTCTGCGGAACACATTTCAGACGTTCGCAACTGTCTTTCGAGATGTGGTGTGAAGATTTGGTGTTGTTGAAGATTGTGTGTTGTATTCGAGAGTCTGCGCGGAGTTTGCGAAGGCGATAAAGGGTTCGGAGGCGCGGGCGAAATAAGGTAGGTGAGGTGACGTCTGGGGCCTCCGGCGTCCGAGTGGCCGTCGCAAGGTCAGCAGGTGAGCAGCGCAAATGGCCGGTCGCAGAGCGCCACTGAGGAGGCAAGGCAGGCCAGGCAGCGAGGAACCGGTGGGCGTGGCGGAGCTTGGAGGGGACGTGGGGGCTTGCGTAATTGGCAAAGAGACACAGGTGAGAGGCGCTATGATTGGTTGGCACGGGGGAATGTGAGGCCGAGGCGGAGCTTTCCGGTTGCTTGACGCGGGAGCGAGGGTGCACCCTTGAAGATGTACTGTTGGAAGCTGGATTCTAGACTTTTGCTGCGATTCAGTGGAGTAGTGTTTGCCCGTCACCAGTCATTGACATACTTTGAGTTGGTATTGTTGGCTGGGATGTTATGTCAAGATATAACAGTGATCTCAAGTTTGGAGTCTTATCTTATCTCTATCTCGAGAATGCGCTGATGCAGGAACGCTAGCGCCCTGAAAATCGGAGGAGCCCCGCCAAATAAACCCCCGCTGAAGCTCCCGCACGGGCCAGCCTGGATGGAAACTTGTGATGTCAAGCAGCTCCCAGCAGTGTGTGGGCGCGTCCAGAACAATTCCACGCGACTCGTTGATTCTCCATCCAACTTGCACCTTGCACGTCGAAACCGCTCCGTCAACGACGACCACCACAGCTAATACCAGCATCCCCTCGATGACCGTCAGATAGCCCAGCATGTCGATTCCGGGTCTGGGCCAGCTGGCAGCGCCGGTACGGTCCCTTTTCACACACCTATTCTAAAGCCTGAATGCAAAAGCACGAACCCATACTGACGGAGGCAACACCACGAACAGCAGCCGGCCAACGCATCCCAAACCCGCACAATCAGACTCCAGCCCTTTTGGGAGTGGCGCTTCGAAGTCTCCTTCGGCACCGACCTCACCTTCAAACTCCTCTCCGGCACCGCGGAGAAGGACGGCACCGAGCTGGCCTTGCACCACCTCTACACCTTCTCCGGCACGAAATCCAAGATTCTCACGCTGCAAGGATGCGAGTTCGAGATCGAGGGCAGCAGCCCCGCCGCCGAGTTCCTCGCCGAGTACCACCAACCGCAAGACAACCCCGCGAACGCGTACCTGAACCTGCACTTCCAGCTCACCGCCATGCGCCAGCGCGCCGCCGCCGAGCGCCGCGAGGGCCCCCGCATCGCCGTCTGCGGCGCCCCGACGGCGGGCAAGACGACGCTGTGCAGGACGCTGGCGAGCTACGCGACGAGGGTCGGCGCGCAGCCGATCGTGGTGAACACGGACCCCAAGGAGGGCATGCTGAGCCTGCCGGGGACGCTGAGCGCCGCCGTCGTGGGGAGCGTGCTGGACGTCGAGGCTGTCGACGGGTGGGGGACCACGCCGACGAGCGGGCCGAGTCAGGTGCCGGTCAAGCTGCCGCTGGTCTACTACTACGGACACGCGAGGGCGGAGGAGAGTCCGAGGAAATATAAGCAGCTCGTCAGCAAAATGGCAGCTACTGTCACCTCGCGGTTTGCGCAGGATCCCGATGCTAAGAGCGCGGGAATGATTATCGATACGTTTGGGATCAGCGAGAAGAGCACGTCGGGCTTGGATTTGTTTGCTCATGTCGTGGAGGAGTTGTCAGGTATGCGAAAGAGACACGATGCGAGGTGTGATTTGGATCGAGCTAACGGCGCCCAGCGAACATCATCATTGTGCTGGGATCGGCTACGTTGAATGCAGAAGTCCAAAAGAGGTTTGCGTCGGAGAAGTCAAGTCTGGGCGAGCCGTACAGCATTGTGCTCCTAGACAAGTCTGAAGGTGTAGCCGAGAGAGATGAGGGGTTCATGCAGCAAGTCTGCGAGGCATCGATCAAGGAGTACTTTTTCGGCACAGTCGGGCGGACGTTGAGTCCTGCGACGCAGCAAGTCGACTTTGATAGCCTGACGATATATCGTCTAGGCGACAGTGAGTTCGCTTCAAGAGCCGTCCTTGATGCAAGCTTTACTGACCCGTTGCAGATTCTACCTACGGCGGCACGGACGACGGTCTCACGCGGGTGGACTCGTCCCAGCTCATGGCACATTGGACGCTGCCCGTTGTGTACGCCTCAGTTAGGGACAGCCCCGAGACGATTCGGACGTCGAACATCATGGGTTACGTCTACGTCGCCGACATTGACAAGGAGAAGCGCAAGTTGAGAATTCTGGCGCCAGTGGGTGGACGTCTGGGAGACCGGCCGCTGCTGATGGGCAAATGGCCTGAGCCGTACATTAACTTGTTAGGATGAGTTAGAAATGATACCACGAATACTTTTTCCAAGCAGAGCGCTACGAAAGTGTCACACTTTTCTTTTAGATTCGTAACGCCCTCGAATCGCGGACGCATCACGAAGCTCCGACGATGTCCCGGGTGGACAAGCAAGACGCGTGCCACAGCAAGCCATACCCCATACCGATGAGTCGCAATCAAATCGTCGACTAAACCAAGAGAGGAGCCTGGCGCGTCCCTCTTCAACATGAACACTCCGAGAGTAGGAATACGACGTCGAGCTCGGATGGGTATTGACACATTGTGGCTGACAGTGCCCCCGTAACGGAATTTGTGGATTTCGGGCTGAACTTGCTCTTTCTCGTGTCACATTCCCCGTTGAAGGGGTCTTCATCACACATGCTCTCGGTTCAGAAGTGGTAGCACCCGTAAAATCCACCACGCGGGGCAAGCTAAGCCTCATTTGGACAAAAAACCCGAGATGCATCAAAATCCAAGCTACCCGGGTATGTTCCGATTTGGAGCAACGCATATAAGAGCTCTGGGTGTCGGGATGGATGTCTGTATTAATGGACTGGAAGTATTCCAGTCGCGCCCTGGATACGGTTCAACCTCTTTACTGCCCTACAAACTCTGTTGTCTTGCACTAACATGGCTGCCTCTTTCGAAAACCCCGACTATGTTCCCGTGTCGGACTGGCCAACACTGGAAGACATGGCGGGTGGATTCGGCGAACACTTAATGGCCGAGTCTTCAAAGCTTGCAGGCAAATCATTCACTCATGTCTTCGACGTCGGTTCTCGAATCTCGCACCAGTTCGTCGATGACCATGCGATACACTGGGAAGTACTGGAGGGAGACCAACGCGGAGTCACCGGGAGCGCTGAATACAAAGCATATGAAGTACGGGAGAACATTTTCTTCGTCGACTTCTACAACCCCGACCTCCTGGAGCAGATCAGCATCGTCCTGGATGTCGCAACGGGCCAAGCAATCGCGTGCGTCTCTGGATTCACCAACCGCGGGGAAGAGCGAAGAACATGCACCAAGTTCTCGCACGCCACCGAGGACGAACGGGGCCCCGTCGCTATCTACCAACCCACCGACGAACTGGTCGGCAAACACATCCTCTACCGCTACACCGCCCGCGACGCCTACGAGCACGTCTACCTGAACAAGGGCACCATGAGCTGGCACTGTCTCGCGGGCACCGAGAACGGGCTTGCAGACACGGAGCAGTGCAGGATGCTGAAGCTCGGCGAGAGCCTGTACCTCCTGTTCTGGACGGAGACGATCATGCCTGTCGAGTCCGTCGTTGTGGTCGATCTGGAGAAGATGCGGTCCACGGGCCGGTTCTTTTGCTGGGATCCAAAGCCGCAGCGTGCTGTCCACGTACGGTTCGGTTCTTATGCAACCAAACTTGCAGACACAAAACCCGCCGAGGTCCTTGCAAGAACCAGGCTGCCTGGGGTGGCCTGAGCTATCTTGCTAGGTCTCTCAGCACTCAACGAGTAAGGGAACATCACCACAGGCGGCCGGAGTGGTTAAGGACGGATCTCAAACACGCGCTGATCAGCTCGTTGATTTGACAGGCAATTTTAGAGGGTACATTTTCAGTAACGCTGCCGTGTCGCGAACTCTTGACGTGTGCTTGCCCAGACGAACTTGGTGCAGATCAAATCGTAGATCAGTATTGAAATGATATGCCGTTCTTTAACCACATCACCTGCGGTCCTGCAATGATTGTTCACATGGGTCAGCTGAAGGCACTTGAGATGAAGGCATTTAGAGCCGGGAGCTTCAAAAGGGTTCAACATGTTACCACGGCTGAAGCTGCATATGGTAAATAATGAACACCTGGTTACCTTTGATGCTACACGCATAAGTCTAGGTTACGTGCAAGTTTGAGACGATTCCGTGAGTTCCGAGTCAAGTCTCTCGGGATCGGGGAATCCATTGAGGATACCTCAGGGTGTGATGAACTTGGCAGATAACACGCTATTGATCAGCGATCGTTGGTACATCGGAACGAAATCAACTGCCTTCTTTCCGAAGGCCGGAGGGTGGTCAGCTCAAATTGGGCATCATACGCGTAGTGAAGTACTGGAAACTGCACCTACCGCCTGCTTAAGATTGGAGTCTATCTGTGTTATCAGGGTGGGCCTACCAGATCTTCTCTGCGGTCCTACGAATGATACGTCATGCCTCGCACTTTTTTTCCTCAAAGGGGAAAGTGTCAATATCTACAAGGGTCACTTTCAACCTTTTGTTTGACGACAGAGATACCGACAGTTTGATGAACACTCAAGATAATGGGACTGAATGATAAATAATTATCTCAAAAGTCACCTTGCGCAAAACCGAAATGATGGCGTGTTTTTCCTCGTCAGACCACTCTACGCAATTGAAACGCAGCTTTCTGAGCCTCAAGCATTGTTTATCTTATTACTGTTAAGTATTCTTTGATAGCCAGCAATGGCTCTTGAGTCGGTTTCCAAGAAACACGCGGTGCTCGGCGATGCCGTCGAACCGGACACTTCCCCTGCTGTTTCGGCTCAAAAGCTGAAGGTGGGGGCCAGTTGAAAGCCACCCCAAAGCTTGAATTAACTCGTGACAGCGCAACTTTTCGTCGGCCTCGATCCTGGCGACGTCTGTGTCGTTAATGGCAACATGGGAAGCTCTTTGCAGGTACTACCTTCTCTCATAAGCGTCATTCTTCCTCTCTGACGCTTCTCAAGCACGATGTCTACTGGCCTGGTCAATGGGGGTCCGTCCTCTCTGGTATACGGATCTATCATTGCCTTTGTTGGATCGACATGCTCAGCGATGTCGCTTGCTGAACTAGCTTCGATGTAAGATGTTGTACATGTTGAAACGTTGCCCATCCTAACTGTGCGTAGCCACCCTACAGCCGGGGGCCAGTATCACTTTGTCGCCTACCTGCAGAAAAGATCACCCGCCTTCAACTGGTTTGCTGGGTACATCACGTAAGAGCCGAGTACACACCTCCGCTGCCTTGCTCATCTGTGATTGCTGAATTTGAGTCTTGTTAGTACGCTAGGCTGGATTTCCTTTGCCGGAAGCGCGCCTTTCATTGCCGGGACTCAGATACAGGGTCTTCTTGTGCTGAACTACCCCGACTCCTACACTTTCGAACGATGGCACGGTACTCTGCTGTACTGGGCAGTCCTTGTATCCTCTGCAAGTGTCTGCGTGCTCTGCAGCCGCATCCTACCATTGCTCGAGAAAATCACCATGGGCTTACACATTGGGTTCTACGCCGCCATTCTAATCGCCATGGTCGTTGTCTCCCCAGAGAAGCACTCGGCAGCGTTCGTCTTTACAACATTCGAGAACAACTCGGGCTGGTCGAACGACGCAGTCGCGTGGTGCATCGGCCTTTTGAGCAGCTGCTACGTCTTGGCCGGGTACGACGGCGCCACCCACCTCAGCGAGGAGATGGACGATGCGGCGGTCGGGGTGCCCCGCGCAATGGTCGGCTCCGTCCTGATCAACGGGGTGCTGGGCTTCACGTTCCTGATTGCGTTGCTGTTCTGCATGGGCGACGTTGCCTCCGCGCTCGCCACCTCGACCGGGTTCCCCATCATCCAGATCTTTTACAACATCACCGGGAGCCTGGCCGCGACGAATGCGATGACCGCCGCTATCACATTCATGGCGATCGTGTCCACGGTGCCGCTGCTGACTTCGGCGGCTCGAATAATGTGGGCGTTTGCAAGTGACCAGGGTGAGTCCGTCAGATGGTGTAATAGTCAGGGGGGCCACTTTACATAACCCCAAACCCCAGCACTGGATGGGAGCTGACTGCAAAACTTGCTTCCCAGGACTTCCTTTCGCCTCCGTCATCTCCAAGATCGAGGAGAAGCGCGGCATCCCGACGGTGTCAATCACAGTCACGACCTGTCTCCTCGTTCTCCTGGGGCTCGTCAACATTGCTTCGACGACCGGGTTCAACGCCATCCTGTCGCTTGCTGTGGTGAGCTTGCAGGTCTCTTACCTGTTGCCGATCTCGCTGGTGCTCTGGCGGCGAGTATCATGCCCAGGGACGTTGGCTTGGGGCCCATGGCACATGCCAAGGGCGGGCATCGCAGTCAACGTCACGGCTGTGTGTTACTTGATCTTCACCTGCATTTTCCTCCTGCTACCCCCAATGCAACCCGTGACAGCACTGAACATGAACTATGCTTCTGTGGTGCTGAGCGGTGCTTTGGCATTCGGGGCAATGTACTGGCTGTTCCGAGCCAAGAGGGCGTACGTGGGACCGCTGACTGAGATGCATACACTGCATGGCCGAGCTCCAGCCTGACGACTTCAATTGAGGTATGTTTCAGACATTAAGCTACAATTATCGATGTCGTGGATGTTCTGGAATGAAATCTAGCGTGGTTTGGAATGGAAAAAGGTTATGACCTAGCTTCAGTTGAGAGTTCAAGTGAAGGATTTATACTTCCAAGACTGGTTATTTCCAAGACTGGTCCGCAAAAGAAATAGATTTATCTAAATTTCCGGATACTGAAGTCTCTCGGCGAGAGACAGGCGTTCACAACGCACATTTGCATGCCTTTAACATAACGTTCCTGACTATGAGAGGCAGAATTTCTTGTTGAAGGAGCATACCGACTGAATGGCGAACTTCAACCAGGTATTGTTTGCAAACGAAGTTCCTCCATGACATCTATCCAATGACTCTTTGGCATCAAATCCTCGTCGTAACCACTCGCATGTTGAGATTCTGTGCTAGAGTCTATGGCTGACCAGACATGGACAAGAAGATTGCACACGCGCTCGATAGTGCGTAGACCAACAATGTGATATGTGCGGCCCAATCTTTGCAAAATGAATCTCCTCCGACGAAGCACCGCATGATTCAACAAGTTTTGTTCTGACGTGAGCAGGCCACCCGCGCCTGGCCTGCTTTGCCTCAGCGCCGCGCCAGCAATGAGAAATATGAGCGTCTGCGTGGCAATGGTGCCGGAATCGTGCGGGATCGTCCCGAGAATGTCGAGAATCTCGAACGCGAGCCCTAGGACCAGCTGCGAAATTTTGTCGTCCCCGGTACATGGCATCATCATCATAGCCCCTGGTTCCAGCTGCATACGGGACTCCGCGAGCTCTGGGAACGCACGGTACAGTTCCAGTCGGATGCCCATTTGGTAACATCTGGCCAGCTGGCTGAAATGCGAAGGCGGAGTTTGAGAATCGCCGGTGTCTGAGATGGAGGCTGGAAACGGAATTCGAACATCCAGCGTGGCGTTTTCCACGCTGCAGGCTTCTGTGAAAAGCTGCGTATGCTCTGGTGCCACGGATACTTCGTGTTCGTTTTCGATTGGGAGATGGGAATTTCGGAGTGCTCTCTTTCTCCTGACGAGTATGCCGGCTTTGGCCAGGAGGAAGAAGATGGAAGTCGCCACACCGGTCCAGGGACAAACCTGTGTGGGCGGTATGAGCACTGAGCTGCAAAGAGGATCAAGGTAAGACAGGGTGTCTGTATCCTGGTCAACGAGAAAAGCAATCATGGCTTCCCAATAAACCATCGAAGAAACGAGGAAGACGTGCTTTTCTCTCATGCTTTGCAAACCTTCGAGTGAACCAAGCCCGCTGGAACGCACCCAACACTGGAAAAGTTGACGGCACCCTTGGATGTGACATAGCCCGAGCGCAGACGGATCATGCCAACTCTGCGCCTCTTTGTCAGGACCGTCAGAAGCGAATTCAGTCCCGCAGGGAACTCACTGAAGTCATACCGAGAAGGATGATACCCATCAACACATCCCTGGCTACGGGTTGAATGCCCCCCGTCGATCTCGGACAAACTTGCTCGCTCGACGTGCTGGCTTCGCCCGGGCTTGTTTGTTCGAGCGCCACGAGATGCCTTGATATTTCGCAGACTGCTTCCGTCTGGAACGACAGAGGAACAGTAGAGCCAGGCTCAGCGCGATAGAAGTGTGCCGAGGAGATGCTCAGCACGGAGAGGAAAAGTAGACGTGACTTTTTCATCATTTCCAGTACATCTGCCCGGAACGGGTTCTTGCTGGAGTCGAAAGACGAGGTGATGCGGCAAACATGAGTAATGTAATGGTTCGTGAGGATTGTGCTCTGCTCAACTGGCGGGCGAAACGACAGGCCATGTTGCAAGCTGTTGATCGCAGGTATCGCGTTTATCGCGGTTTTCACTGTGGATGGTGGCGCAGCAACTGTTTCTGATCGGTTCTTAATAGTGTTTTCAAGCGACTACAGATAGATTAGCTTGCAAGCTCACGAGCGCGCGTAAAGACTTTGTCCGTAACGCAACCGGGTGGAAGGAGGGGAGGGGTTTCTCTGGCTCGAGACAAACCACCTTGCAGGAGCTTTTCATGACTGACCATTGAATCTTGAAGTAGTGCACGCGACAAGACGTGGGTTTCATGCTTGAACCAACTTGATTGTGAAGTCAGACTCGCATTGGAACCACGACGCGTTTGTGGGTTTCTCTCGTGCTTGTTAGACCATCTGTAGGACCGAGCGTATCCAGGACAGTCAGTCCCCGATTTGATACATCTCAAGCAGCTGGGGACGTTTTCATCACACTTCAGCTTCTGCGCTGACTGTTAAGCAGGTCGTTCTAAGATACAAGAGACATTCAACACTGAACACTGGTCTTACCCTTTGCTTGCAGCGATGGCAACCGCCTAGAGTGCGGTCAGCGTGAGCTCAAGATCGGGGTCCCAGCTAGCCCCTGTTGGCCGGTTAGCCGGCAGCACTACTCACTTCGCGACTTTGCACCCTTGCGAGAACGTGAAGGTGCTTTTGGTTCCATGAGGATGCATACGTGAGATGCAGAACAGGTTCCCCAGTGACTGTCGTGGACGACTGGACGCTGGAACGGCAATCATGGACATTGCAGACAGCTGACAGAGAACGTCATCTGCTCGCTTCAACGAATGGGGGGTTTCTGGCCTTATCAGTGGGGATTCACAGTGCTAAAACGGTGCACTGCACTTAGAAGCATTGCAACCACCATATTCGGTTCGCTACCTAAACTCAACTCAACTCTTCTGTATTCTGATGCATCCATGCTTTTGAAAACCCGCCATGGAAATGAACGTATTCTTTGAGCAGTCTGGAATCGCATGTTGATTCTTGTGATTCGAAAGTCAAAATGCCGTGATAAATCTGCGTGAAAACCCGCGAGGAGCGAAGACTTTCCACGCCGGTGAGCTGCGAATTGGGGAACGTCAGAGGGTCACATCTGGAGTACATGTGATGCGACGGAGATCAGGGGATGTGTCAGCGCTACGCTACGGACTTTCCAATCACAGCAGGATGGGAACGGCCATGTCTCTCTCGGTGATCGTCGAGAGAACAAAAGGAACCCCCTTTCTCACTTCTTCTCTCCCAAAGTCCTGGGAGCCGGAAGATCTTGGTGTAACACGATGGGCGAAAAGAAGTGCATGCGATTCGATGCAGCTACGCGCGATGCTGCCTGGCCAGTCGAGGCGGGCCCATCCCATCCCTTCCATCCCTTCCATCCCTCCCCTCCATCCCCATTCCCATTTCCAGCACCGCCGCCTTGGATGTAAGTAAGCCTGAAGCGAGTTGAGCGGGTGGCGATCAGCCGCTGGGGATGACCCAGAAAAAGAAGACGGAAGAGTGAGAGTGGCATTGCATCGCAGCCCTACGTCAGCTTACTACAGGATCCCACCGAACTGGCTATTCCAGGCACCGCCAGGCTGATAGCGCACGACATCATCTGCATGTCTCTGTTTGCCCGTGGCATGACCGAAAGTCCAAGAGACGGAGAGAGGCAGCAACATTTTTTGTTCTCTCCCGCCTTTAGACTTTCCACCGGCCTGCCGTGCCGTGCCTCTCCGCGCCTCTCCGGCATCGCTAGCCCACGGCTCTTGAGACAATGTGTCTATCTCATCATTCCGCCTCCCCCGCGCGGCGGTAGGCGAAGTCCCCCGTTTAGGCAAACCGAAGCGGCGCAAGAGGCGCGGAAAGCCAAGCGACATGGAGACGTGCCCGCGACATTTGAAGGAAGCAATGATGACCCCGACGAAGCCAATGAGGACGTCGAGGCCGCACACCACTCACACCACAAGCGCTCCCAATTCCTCGTAAGGCTGAGCGGCCGGTGAGTCGGAATGGAGCCGTTATTGATTGTCGACAGGGAGGCGGAGGATGGAGGGGAGGGGTAGGTAGGGACCCGATTCCTTCTTCAGCGGCAGCTTCGCCTCGCTCCCAATGACATTTCTCGGGTCTTCGCTCGTCATCCACTTTCTCACTCATCGTTCTCTGTTTCTGGGCGCAAGAGTGTTCCCCACATGCACTCACACTCACCGGAAGCGGCCCCAAGCACGCCTCATTTATCGACTTTTGTTTTTTCGGCTCGGCGCTGTCAAAAGATGGCTTGAGCCGCAGCACCGGCAGGCAGCGAAAACGGTTCCCCCGGCCGGTAGCCCAGGCGTCAGGACGATGTCAACGGGGAAAACGGTAGCCCAGGCGTCAGGACGATGTCAACGGGGAAAATTGTGTGGGAATTTGGGAATCAGACCCCGGCGAGTCGCAACAAGTGAACCCCACTCCTCCATCTTTTTCATCCTCATCGCAAGGGTAAAGTTAGCTGAGGAATCATTCGCAGTGCCATTTCTGCCTATGAGCGAGAGGGGACTGCTTCGTGTGTTTCCTCATTAGGAAAATGCACTCCCCATCCCACCCTACCACCAAGGCCTCTCTCTCAATAGCCTTGCGCTCTATCAAAAAACCCAAGAAAGTCGTGCCGCAGCGGAATCCGGAGCTAGGCACCTGTTCCATCATCGCCTCCACACTCGCGCGCTGGCTGTGGCAGGGGGATGGAGGGGAGGGAAGGGTGTATGTAACGCAGCCTTGCGACCAATGGGGCTCCACGGCGGCCATCTCGACATTTCTGTAATTCTCGCAGGAGGATGAGGCTTTCCCAGCCAATTGGCGTTGTGACGAGGAACCAACAGCGTTTTTCTTGCGTGCGAGATAGCCCAAAAACGATAATTACGTCCGTAAAGAGTGTAGGCCCAACCACAAACCCACACACATTCTACATTCTCGGTGTGATTGCCTTCTTTTCGAAAAGGTACCTGGATCCTCCTGGCCACTGGTTTGATGCTTCGCAACGGCGCAAGTTCTCTCGGCCGTCCTTTTGTTCTTCATCGGCTGAGCCGTACGGAAGGACCCTCCACCTCCACCATACATACGCCTCACACGCACCTTGAGTCACAGACCCCCAAATCCTGACTACCTACCTGCCTCAGCTCATGTATCTTCTTCTCGCTTGAGGCCACTTTTGAGATTAGGCCTCTTCCCCGAGTTACCGAACCTGCGAAGGTTTGTGATGGGACTCCGCTAAGATACGCCTGGTGCCGCGCCGTGGCTGGCTGGACCATGTGGATGTGGCATGGGGGAGGAGGGTGGCCGGGGGTAGAGGCGCTCCTCCCGTTCGTTCACGCAACGACGCAGTTACCGTTTACGGCAAACGAATATCTACCACTAGGAAGGGTCTGGTGCTTGGAGGAGGAGTCAAAGATGTGATGGCCCCCAAACATCACATCCTATCTAGACCAAGACGAGCGATGATGGTGCCGGGAATGGGTGGAGGAACGCTGTCACTGGCACTGATGCTAACACTGCCTCCACGGTGATGGCGGCGCAGGATGGGGAGGGGCGAGGAAGGAAGGCAGCCATCTGACGGGAAGGAATCTGGTTCCCCCCGCCGAGGTGAGAACCATATATACCTCCCTAGAGGCCGACGTGTAAGTTGGATGTCTGAAGGATGTAGACAACAATCCGTTGCTCTCTTCGACTCTTTGGTTTTCCCCAGGAAGAAGCATTCTCTCTTTCTCTCCCACATATCTCCTACACTGTCACATCTTCGTGGGAGGATACTACACTACCATCAACCATGGCGAGGGTAGAAGTACACCACCTCCACCCTACCAACTGGGAATCAGACCCAGAAGAAGAAATCTTCCCCCTCTCCACGCTGGACTACCTCTCGGGCCAGATCTGGTGCAACTACGTCCTCTTCTTCAAGCTCCCCTCCGCCACCCCAGACTCCCAGTCCGAGCTCATCACAGTCCTCAAGGCCGGCCTCGAGAGGACCCTCTCCCAGGTCCGCCAGCTGCCCGGCGTCCTCACAAAACACCCCTCCGGCTCCGGGCTCTGCTGGCACAAGAAGAGGGAAGACACCGTCGAGTTCCACGTCCAATGGCTTGACAACACCGCCGCCACCGGCAAGAAGAACAAGAAGTATCCCACCTTCGCGGACCTCGAGAAGCAGCACTTCTCCTCAAAAGCCCTCGGCGACCCCAAGACGTGGTCGGTCCACCCCTTCAAGGGCGGCCAGTGCCCCGAGTCCCACTGGACGAGCCGGCCCAAGGCCGCCGCCTATAAGGCCACCTTCATCCCCGGCGGCATGATCTTCATGATGCACCACCACCACTTCTCGGGCGACATCATGGCCTGGTCAGGCCAGCTGCACCAGCTCGCCGAGAACTGCAACGCCATCTGGGCCGCCCGCGGCACCGGCTCAGCGCCCAAGTTCCCCGCCTGGGACCCCGCTTGCCTCGACTTCTCCCTCACCACGAAGGCCGACCTCCCGGCGTCGCAGCAGGTCGACGGCCCCAGCGCGGCGCCCGAGCGGAACGCCGCATACCGCCCGTCGAAGCGGCTGCTCTTCCACCTGCCCAAGAGCAAGATGGCGAAGCTCAAGAAGCTCGCCGCCCCGCCGGATGAGGACGGCGAGGAGGGCAGGTGGATCTCGAGCTACGACGCGTACACGGCGCACATCTGGCGCGTGCTCTCGAAGCACAAGGCGGCGCTGTACGAGCCGGACTTGAAGGAGGCGCTGATCTGGGGCGAGGCGGTCAATATGCGTCCGCGGTTCCGGGACCCGGTCGTGCCGGCGCGGATCCAGAGTAATTTCATGTCGGTGGCGGTAAGCTTCCAGAGTGTGGTGCCGACGATGAGCGGCGAGGAGGTGATTTCCTCGGCGCCGTTTTGGAAGTTGGCATGGTACGTTTCTTTCCCTCTCTTTCTGACGTCTGCGAGGTTTGCTGACAATGCGATTTCAGGTACATCCGCCAGCTCACCAACACGGTGACCCAAGACTACGTGAACGCGATGCTGGCCTCGCTCGCGCCGATCCGCGACAAGACGACGCTCTTCATCCGCGGCGACGCCTTCCACCCGATGACGACGCTCTTCACGGACTGGCGCGACACGCGCCCCTGCGAGGCGGACTTCGGCTTCGGCGCGCCGTACGCGTTCCGCTGGCTCTTCGAGAGCGTGCAGACGGGCATGTTCGTGACGTACCCGGCGCGCGTCAACGGGGCGCCCGCGGGCGCGGACGAGGGCACCGAGTTCAGCCTGCCGGTCGAGCGGGAGGTGGCCGCGGCGCTGCTGGCGGACCCGGAGTGGAGCGAGTACTTTGAGTACCGCGGGGTTGAGAACGATGTCGATGATGTGGAGGGCGCAGAGGAGAAGGAGACGGAGACGGAGGAGGAGGCGGTGGCAGAGGTGGTGAGGGACAGGTTGAGCAAGGTGGAGAGGGATACGGTTGTCGTGGTCAGGGGCGTGGCGGCGCGGTGTCGCAATGCTTCTGTCCGCGTGCGGGATGTTTGTGGCTGGCTGGTTACGGTGTTCAGGAGGGTCATGACGAAAGGATTGTGAGCGGGCCTGGTTTCTTCGTCTTTTGTGTAGGATACCTATCTGGTGTGGTCTTTTGCTATATTTCCATATGTAGAACAAGCAGGCGGTTGGAATTAACAAACAATAATCACTATCAATAAGACTTACACCACTCAAAAATGTGACAGAAGCGCGTGATACTTGAGCTGGAAACTCTGATGGCCAAAAAGAAAGCAGGAGGGAGGAATTGAGCCTCACGCGGGGGTCGAACCCGCAACCTTGAGATTAAGAGTCTCACGCTCTACCGATTGAGCTAGCAAGGCCTGCGAGTTGTGATTGTTGATGATGGCCGGCGTGCGAGGGATCAAGAGCCAAGTGGAGCGGTAGGGTTTGAGCTGGGTGAGTGGATGGAAAAAAAACTTCATCGTGGAATCGCTTCTTGTTAAAATTTCTCTCGTGAACTAGTGGGTTGGCCCCGAAAGCATGGGCCCGTCCGGGAAAGAGCACTCCACCCGGCCCCGTCTTCCGGCTCCGGCGGACCCTCACTACGGTTTCCTGCCGTACACCACGATCCTGTCAAAGTCAGCACCAACCATCACATGAACCACCGTAATACTCACATGGGCCAGTACGCATGGATACTCCGATCTCCAACATCCTTCCTCGTCTGCGCGGCGAGCACATTCACCTCATCCGCCTTCCACGCGAGGCCCCTCGTCAGGAACGCCATCAGGAACCCCTGCAGCCCGGTGGTGATGTTGTCGTAGTTCCACGCGCCGAGCTCCTTGAACTTTGCGTGGCGCGGCCAGGTGTTGCTGGGCCACTTGAAGCAGATCTCGGCGATATCCACAAAACCCGCGGCCTCCATCATGGGCTTGAGCGTGCTGAGCTCGATGAAGGCGTGGTCCATCTTGGCGGCGGCCTCGCCCAGCAGGGCCATCGACTTGTGGAGCGCGTGGTCCGGGGTCAGGGTGCCGTCGTCGGAGAGGGGAAGGCCGAATTCCTGGAGCTCGAGGTAGCCGCCTGGGTTGAGGTTTCTGTGGGGGGCGTGTGAGATTGGGGTTCAGATATTGGAGACAGGGATGGGGGCATTCACTCATAACATTGGCGCAGGTATTCTTCCCATTTCGAGATGGATGAGTTCATCATCCGGGAGTGGATGTAGTCAAAAGGGCGGGAGTAGGTCCAGCTGTCTTCGATGTCGTCGATCTCGAACTTGACGTTTGGCGGGACGCTTGAAGATGTTAGGAGAGACTGAAAAGTAGAATCAATTGAGAACATACAACTTCGGCTGTGTCGGAGAGAGATCCACACCAATGACCTACAAACAAAGGTCAGATCATATCAAAGAGGGTGCCGCTGGATCGCCTACCTCCGAGCCTGGATGCTCGTCGCCGTAGTCCATAGCCCAGATACCCGTTCCCGTTCCCAAGTCAAGAACACGGCCCGGATTGGCGTCGGCTTTGTTGGGCGGGGACAGGCCGAGCAGACCGTCAAAGGAGAGGTAGAAGATGTGATGTTGAAGGTCTCGAGACGATGTCAATACGCTGCCTTACAACAGGTTCAAAGAGGGCATGCCAGTACCTAGTCGCTCGTTCTCTTCCTCATCATTGGGGAAGTGGTACTCTCGATCACAATCAGCTGACTCCTTGCCCATCCTGCCGGACTACTCACTTCCATCTCGGAACCTGTGATAGGTGCGGCCGTTCTCCTTGCGATAGTCGAGAATGGAGCTGTTCAAGCTCGCCGTCGTCGAGGTCCCGTCCTGTCCCACCCGTCAGTACCTTCACCGAGCGCACAGGCAGTGAGATTCGCACATTGGTATCGCCCACGGCTGAGTCGATATCGTTGAAGTCGTCGGGCTCTACAACGTCAGCCTGAAGCGCCGCCATGTCGACAAGCTTCCGAGTCTCGCGATCACAGCAACGTGTGTAGGTGTAGAGGTGCCGTTGTACGCAGGTCTAGTCAGGTCCAGGTGTGACGGACTGCGGCTCTGGCCTGACGATCGGTGAGGCGAGCAGAAATATCACGCTATCGACATCTCTTTCTTCCCCGCACAGCCATGTCTTTGATTAGACAGTTGGCCGGGGCCGGGAGGACCCTTTCCTGAGCGACTCATGAAGAGGGGCCGATGGGAGGAACAGGCGGTGATTGACCACCACCCCGGGCTGTCATCTGCAGGCATTGCGGTCCCAGGAGCCAGGTCACTGACACAAATGATTTGCAGATGACAGCGGAAAAGGTCCAGGGTGAGCCCCATTTCGGACCGGTGAGTTTGGACGGTGACAGAAGTGGCGGTCGATAGTCTGGCCCAATGAAGTGTCTGGAAGACAGAGAAGGATCGCGACCAACAAGTGTTCTGGGCTCCAACAGCTCCAACAGTAGCGATGTGACAGGTTGATAGGATTGGAGAGTCGCAAGCAGGTGAGGACGGAAGCGGCATAGCATGGCCTGCTCGATGTGCGTGATGGCCAATCGTGAGATGTCAGCCAGCAGTTGGAATGCAGCAGAGACATGGCATGATTCCACCGAGCGCGCACATCGGCACTAATTGGCGCATGTCTTGAACCTTGTCAGTTGTGCGCCGCAAGCCTCCACGGCCGGCTCAATCGCTCGATCGAGACCGTCGCCTGGGCGGGCATCCAATGGCGGGGTCCTGTTGGACATCGCAATGGCGGAAGAAGCTCCGGGCAAACTAGCTTGAAGAGGAATCAGTTTCGACGAAGGGACGGCGTCGGAAGAGACGGACATTGGCAGTCGGTGTGCAAGACCTCGCCAGTACGGTCACCAACTGATTCATTTCGAGGAGGGTTTCCATCATAATTCTTTCGACAGAGACTCAGTAAAGCCATGCCTTCGCAAGATGCCCGGTCGGAGATGGGGCCGAACTGATCTCACCGCCTCGTCGCTGGCCACGGAGCGCTGAGTTCTTGAGATCGAGGTATCGGCACCGATGCGTCCTCACACAGCATCTAATGCGATCAGCTGTTAGAGCTTAAGTGTGATCTCGTAGATGCTCAGCCAGCATTTCTGTGTTCCCCGGGAGTTCTAAAGGCAGCCGGCGGTATTGGAACTGCGGCTGCTGCTTGCTTTCCGGATCTCCGGACGACGAAGAAGCGACAAGCGAAAAGCGGGCACTCCGACGAGAGAAATCACATTGATTTGAATAGATTGTTGGAAATGAGGCTGTTTCTGATGGTATCGCGCTGCCAGACCCAAGCATTTCGATTGCTGTCGACAAGTGTTGGTGGTGTTCACTTGAACCCAGCTGAACATATTGCCTGTCTCAATTGCTTCGTGGCCGTGGACCTGCCATCAAACGGCTGCGGTCAATTGATTTGTGGACTTCGCCGAGTTGTACAGCTTGAACATGATTGCCTTCGAGGCAGATACCGCATCCATGTGTGTATAGTTCCTTGGCGTGTTGGCGTCTTCGGCGATGGCTTCACTCGATGCATCGCTTGGAAGTCCTCCGTGAAACCGCGAGAGTCAATGAGCTGACCTGGGCCACATTGAATGAGCAGAGGCTGCGGGATAAAGCGAAGAGTACGTCAGCTGCAGGTGGCCCCTGGGAGAATACGACTTTGCCCATTCATCCATGTCCAACACGCAGGATTGTCGTGGTTGGTGTCGCAGAACCTCGCCTCCCAGCGGTGAATCCGGTATGTCGCCAGCGTCGTCTTTCGTCCCGACACATAGCGACAACTCCCGCATCGCTGATGTTAGGTGAAGATTGCGAAGTCTTCATGATCGACATGTCGTGCAAAGAGGCGTTGAGGATGCAACATGGCGAGTCACGTCGAGAAACATGTTTCTGTCGATGAAGTTGTAAGAGTCAGTCAGTTGCTGCTCAGTTGTTGCTCTATGTCTTGGTCACTCAGGGGCTGATTAGATGAGATAAGCAGCCGCAAAAGCCAATCAGTGATCTCCCGGCCAAGAAGACAGGGCATCCATCCCCTGGACCTGCCAGCTTTTTCTGCTCAAAGCCCCTGTTGCTGCGAGAAAGTCAATTCTGCGCTCACAGGGCACTGCTTGGTCTTTTTTCTGATTTTCTCCGAGTCGCCGAAACTCTGCTGAACTTTTTGGAGGATTGACGTTTGATCAACTTCATGATTCGCATTTCTTCATCGAGCTTCTCGGAGCAAACATCTTCACGATCCTTCTGGCAAGCAAACACGGCAGAATCGTTGCGCCGAACAGCAGATCCCCCCTGAGCCATCATCCCCGACTGATGACGCTGCCGCCCGCCACCTCCCAGGATATCTCAAACCATCACCACAGGCATCGTGAGCATCAAAGCCGACCTCAGTGGAGCGTCCAGCGCGATCCTGTTGGCTAAGACCGGCAATTTCATCCCTTTTTAGCGAAGGATTCTCAAGGACATTCATGCTGTGAGGCGGACCAGACATGAACCAACCCGCACCATCTCCTCAGACAATCATCACTGCCTCCCTCCCACATTCCCCCCTTGTTGGCCATGGATGGAACTCGGCTGAACTCGCCTGCCAATTCGGCTCAACTCCAGCGCAGGATGGATCTCGCGAATAGGGGCAACTCCAGTTCAAACGGACTAACATCGGACAGACGGCACACCGAAAGCTGACAGCCATGACAGCGGCCCTGCGGTTTCGCAATGCTTGGGCCCGGGCCCCCAAACGCAGCGCCGCAGACGAATGACGAGCCGTCGTCGCGATGTCGCTCTGCACATCTGCGAAAATGGGGAAACCTGGGCCGTCGGAAGATCTGTAGCAAGGTCGACCGTCCTATCTCTTTCCTTCAATCGTTGACTAACATTTTATTCTTCAGCTCGTCTGGGCCAGGGGCTCATCGACCGTGTTTGGGCCCGTTTGCCGTTCTCCGATGTTTTGGGGAGCATGGTCTCATCCGAAACATTGGCCCGACAGGGACGGCCTCGTCTGTGACTTCAACCCCCCAGCCATCAGCCTCAACGACCTCACTGGCTGATTTGCTACCTTGCGTTATGTTCTCCATCTTAATTGTTACTGCCCGTCGTATCGTGTAGGTCAAACGGCAGAAGATCGCCGTGGTGGCGGTACGCATATTCGGTCGGATTTTCACACACAACGGCGCGCATGCTGGGTGAGCTCTGCTTCGTCTCTGTCGCTCAGCCTCAGTTCCAGAAACGTGCCCCTGTGACAGAACTGCGTCGCATCTCCAGATGGATCTTCGTGACATGGCGGGAAGGACATCAGCAAGCGCTGAGGGAGGGGGCTTTGACAAGCTTACTTCAATGTTCAGACCATCTCGTGGGGATGGATCGATGTTATTTAAGATGGGAAGTGTCCTCGATTGAGTTGATCCAGGAGCTAACCAGAAGCATCGAGTACAAGGCTGCAGTCGTCTAAATATATCCTTTTCTAGTAATTTGAGGGTATTTTGAAAATACTCTTTTCCTTCTTTCACTTTCATCATGGTTCGTTTCTCAGTTGCCGCAGCACTTTGTAAGTCTCTCTCTCCAACCCAAAACCCGTTCGTTTCGTACTAACATCTTCAAGTCGCTGCTTCAGTTCTTGCTGCCCCAAGCCCGCTTTCACCAGACCCGGCCGGCGCAAAGAACGTCGGCAACGGCCAAGGCGCCCAGTTCATCGGCGGAGCCTGCCTGAGCAGCAAAGACTGCGCCTCCACATGCTGTGCCACCCTCAACGGCGCCGGCATCTGCTCCGGACTTGGAGCGCAGTTCCAAGCAGGCAAGACCGGTTGTGGCTTCGGTGACGGCGGAGCTGCCGCCGCTGCTCCTGCTGCCGCACCATCAATGGCCGCCGCCGCCGCCCCTGACTCTGGAAACACAGCTGCTGCAGCGGACACTGGGGCCGCGGGCTCGCAGAACGTCGGCAAGGGCAACGGCCAGCAGTTCATCACCGGCCAGTGTCTCACAGACGCTGACTGCGCGTCGGCTTGCTGCGCAGGGCTCAACGGCAAGGGAACATGCTCTGCCGTAGCCGTGGCCAACGCTAACGGCAAGACTGGGTGTGGCTTCGGCGGCGCCGCGGCTGGTGCGGGATCGGGGACCGGCGCCGAAGCTGCGGCGCCCTCTGCGCCTGCCCAAGCGGCCCCGGCTGCCGGTGGCGACACGGGTGCGGCTGGATCGCAGAATGTAGGGAAGGGTAACGGGCAGCAGTTCATCACGGGGCAGTGCCTCTCGGATGCGGACTGCGCCTCGGGGTGCTGCGCTGGGCCCAAGGGGGCATGCTCTGCGAGGGCTGTGGCTGAGGAGCAGGGCAAGACTGGCTGCGGATTCACGGCGGCTGCGCGATTCTGATAGTTGACTTCTTGGCATGCATTCCTACAGTAGCGAGTATTTAATGACGTGGATTGGCGTAAAATGGAGGGGCATAAGAGCGATGTCAGGCACACATGGATTTTAATAGCGACGAAATGGATAAAACTTGATACACTTCCCAAGGCAGAGATTACTCGTCGTTATGAGATGCAACGGCGATCATTCAGACTCGAATAGGCAGCAGGATGGGCGGAATTAGGCCCGTTCGTCAACTATCTCAATATGATGTCCTGATTGAGACAGCTGAAAGGCGCTTGTGCATTAGGTTGGACAGGGGGGACAGGAGCTGAAAAGTCAGATGCCGCCTTGTTTTCTGTTGGCATGTTGTCTGACTTGCAACACATTCTTCTCATAGTAGAGAAAGGTTCATGTCTGATCGATGGATCCATACCAGTATCGGGCTTTAGGACCGGGCGAGATCCGGCTGCTCCGTCTCCACCCAGCGCCGGACCCGCGCCGAGACCTCACCGGGACCATTCTCCACCATGAGCTGGCCAACCCGGCATTTCGCTGGGGGTCAGACGGACCGTATCTGGAGCACAAGCTACCATACGAAGCCGTATCCTATCACTGGGGAAGCAACACCAAGACACCCTTCAAGCTTCTCGTGAACGACGAGAATGCCGACAGCAGCACCCCGTTATCAGTCATCCCATTAACCGCATCTCTACATACCCTCCTCCGCCAGATTGCTTACACCGACAGAGACCGCGTGGTCTGGGTCGACGCAATCTGCATCAACCAAGTCCGCAGCGCCGACAACGTCGAGAAGGGCGCGCAGATCCGCATGATGCCCGACATCTACGGCATCGCCGCGCGCGTGCTCGTGTACCTCGGCCCGTCCGCAGACAACAGCGACCTCGCCATCGCCTTCCTCGAGCACATCTCCGACTTTGCAGACTACCTCGACGAAGTCCTCCCGACGGCCAACTTCGCGGCAGCCCTAGCCGCGGGCTTCGTGATGCCGCCGCCGGACGCGCCCGACTGGCCGGCGCTCCGCGCCTTCTTGCGCCGCCCTTGGTTCCGCCGCGTCTGGGTGATCCAAGAGTTCGTCAATGCCACTGAGCTTACGGTCATGTGCGGCGCGCGGGAGATTGACTGGCGCAGACTGTTCCTTGCGACGCGGGCCTACGTCGACAACCTCCGCCTTGCGCACCAGGGATTCAGGTCGAACTGGCTGGTTCCGCTGGAGCTTCTGGTCCCGTGGTACCGCCGGCACAGGCTCGACCAGTGGAGACTCGCGCACGAGGGTGCGAGCGCGATGCACACGATTGGGGACTTCCGTCTGAGGCGCGGAGGATACATGAGTCCCGCGTTCATGTGGTTTAACTACCGGGAAGACACGGAAAACGATAGGTGGAAGGAGCCGTTGCCCGTGAAACGAGATTTTGCGGCGATTTGCGAGTATGAACGCTTGGCAGCGCCGAGGATGTTGGAGCACAGGGCGGAAGGGACGGTATTTCCCTTTGGGAGGAGAGGGTTGCTCGAGTTGTTCATGATGACCGGTACCTTTCTGGCCACGCAGCCTGTGGATAGAATCTATGCCTTGTTGGGGCTGGCTGGGGATGTTGACGGCGAGGAGTTTGCGCCCATTTACTCAAAAGAACAGACCCTTGCGGTGGTTAGCAAGCGGTTCGCGATTGGCAAGATTGAGCAGGGCCAGGGAGCCGAGGTTCTCGCTCGTTCGGGGCTGAGGTCGAAGAGGTCTAAGAAACGCGGTGGTGACAATGATGAAGCGCCGTCGTGGGTGCCCGACTGGACTTCCGTCACGTATGCCCAAGACAAAAGACCTGGGTTCACCCTGCGATCACAAGACAAGCAACGCGAAGAGGCCGAGTCGATGGAGAATCAGAATCAAGAACCTAACGAAGATGACACGAACTTGGCACCACCAACGGACGGGGGGGATGATAAGCCACTCGAGGATTCGATGCGCTTGTACACAGCCTGCGGCGACACAAACTTCTACCACCATTTCGACGAAACGCGCAACATTCTTTACGTCAAATCCATTAGTGTTGACAGCATAGCCGCTATCATACCTGGAAGAATGAGGCTGGGGGCCTTCATGAACGAGTTCCTGATCATGGCCACGTTCAATATCGCGGGTAGGGAGTACCCGACGGGCGAAAAGCTTGAGGACGTGATTTGGAGAACTCAAATCGCCAATCGGACGTCGCAGGGTGAGGTCCCAGGGCCGGAGGTCTTTGAGTTGTACCAAATGGTGAAGAAGCGAGACCGCCACATGTTCGCCTTTGTCGTCTTCACCATGGCGATAGCGTGCGTCCTGGCGTCGCCTTTCGCACTCGCCATCCTGCGGCGACTGCCGCTGTATCTGGAGATCTTCATCTTGGCCATGGCCTTCCTCAAGGGGAACCTGCCTTTGAAGTATGCTAGGCTGTCTGTGGTATGTATTCTCCTCCTGCAATGGCTGTATTGGGTGTTTGCCATACCGCTATTGTTGTATTCTCTCTATATTGGAGTATGCAATGTCTGGCAGACGGAATTCCTGGTGGCTGTCTCACAGTTCGGGGTGACCTCGGCTTCAGACGTGGGCTCCCTTCCTCCGGAGTGCGCCATGTACACAAACCAGCTGTCGAATATCGCCAACAAATATGAGCTTGCTGTCACCAAGCAAGGGCTGATAGGGTTGGTGCCGCTGTGCACGGAGGTGGGAGACAGGGTTGGTGTGATCCACGGCTGTGACGCACCATTTGTTCTGCGCCTAGATGAACAGAGGGGGCTTCTCAGAGTTGTTGGAGAAAGTTACATCCACGGCATAATGGATGGAGAGCTGGCTGGGGGGCTTGCTGAAGAAGTTGGCTTGTACTGAGTATTGAACGGCCACGGCAGGGATGGATGTCGTCGAAGAACACTCGCTATTCATTAGGCTTGAAAGTCCCATGGCCTGGGTGCCCATGGATACCCACGATCTTGGGTTCTTCCTGACGCGTATCCATGGCAAAGGAGTCTATCCATGGCAAAGGAACCTATCCATGGATACCCACGGGGGCCCACGGGCGCTGGGCAATACTTAGTTACCCATGGATATGGATATGGGTAACCCATGGGTATGTATCATCAAGCCAACTCACCAAGCACAATCTGTGCACACATCTCACTTCGTAAATGCTTGAGCGCAACGTTCGAAAAGAAAAATGTAATATTTCTGTTTTCCAACAAGTCGCTATGATTGCCTATGAAGAAGTATTATCATTACCAATTAATCGTAAATATGGAAGGTTTATGCAATCTTGCTTCACAACTTCTTGAAGCATTTGTCGCCAAGCCATCGCCCGATCTTGACTGTTGGTACATCCACCACGCGGTTAAAGATGTCACTAACCCACAAAAGAACCAACGTATTAAGGATAAAGCTTCCCCAGAACGAGAAAGCATACGCGCTCCAAGCCGTTTCGAACATCGAACCAGTCATATTCAGAGGAAGGTTCTCGAGAGGCGCGGATGCAAGAGAGTGACTCTTCATCAAGGCGGCGTTGGCGGGAACCAACCACCGTGTGCCCACTGCGTGATTGATGAACCCGTGCCACAGGTAGATGGAGTAAGAGATGCGCCCAAGGTATTGGGCAATGTCTGTGGTGAAGAGCCGTTGGAGCAGTGGCTCGCCCTGATCGTAAGTGGTGGTCGGCGCCGATTCTTCTTCCAGCTTTTCCTTCTCGCTTGTGTGCAAGACTGTGTTATTCTTGTGCCAGGGTGATCGGGTTCTGAAACCGCCCAACAGGTTTGCCAAAAAGCGTCGGATATTGATTTGCGGTGAGTACATCAAGGCAATGATGAAAACAATGGAACCAATGGCGTTCCAATGAAGCTGGACTTGAGCGTCCGAGCCACGATAGCATGGCAAGACGTGCGACGAAAGCCAGTAAAATCCTGAAGCTGAAGCTCCACTTGTCTCCGGGTAAGACATGAGATGAAGGCTGCAAACAAACAGGGCAATCGTCCACACATGGCGGAGAGTCCCCCTCAAGTATGCAAACGCACGCCGGCTGGTTGAGGTGTTGCATCGCGGGAGGACGTCATGCAATGCGCTGGGAGGAATAGCGAGGGAGAGCTCGCCCAGCAAAAGTCCGGCGGGGAAGAGTGCCTTGTCCCAGTCCCCAAGATGAATTAGCCAGCCGGTGAGAACCATCGTTCCGGTAGCGCGGATAGACTTGTGCACCAGTGAAGAAGCAAGGAGAACCACCAAGACGAGTAACGAGCCCTTGATGGCAACGTGAACAGTCCAGAGGTGTCCGTTGTAGGCCATGACTCCAGCGTCATCTTGGTGAGCAATGGGCTTGAACGGGTTCATCAGACTGACAAAGTCCCCGAGCCAATGCTGCATTTGACCGGCGAAGGTGTCCACGACCGGCGGTGCCGGCGCAGATGTTGGGTCCCTGATGTAGAAGCCGAAGTGTACCATAATAGCGATGATGGCGGTAGAGACGGCGACGGGGGCGTACAGGCGGATCGGGCGACGCAAGGCGGATGAAGCGATGCTCCGGAACAGATGCTCGTCTTTATGCTTGTAAATCATCGTCAGGGCCCTGATGGAGAGCACGTATCCGGATATGACGAAGAGAATGGTCAGGCCGGATCGACCGGAGTGTAGAATTCTGACGACTGATTTCTGCCAGGACATTGAGCCATCGTCGGCCGCGACATAGCCCTGGCCGAGTTCGGGGTACCAAAGATGGGAGTAGTGAGAAATGTAGATGATGAATGAGGCTAAGCCGCGGAGGCCATCGAGGTAGGCCGTGGAATCGTTGACTTGCGACGTTGAACTCCTTCGGGAATCAAAAGAGGGGCTCTTCGTTGAGCTGAATATGAAGGACGGGAGTATCAGGCATAGTATCGACATTAGATAGTCATTCCTGTAAGGGCGCCTGACGCTATTGTTGTGGCCATCGCTGAAAAATGAAGAGACAGAGCTTCTCGCAGACCTAATGGATACCAGAATGGGGCGTTCGTCCTTCTTGAAATCTCGGTAGCAGCCGTTTTCGAGGGAACTGCGCGACCACGGGGACGCGTCTTGACCCTCGACGAAAGGATTGACGAATCGCATGGTGGAGACAGTGGATGAGCGACGTCTTGGCTGGGACGCCGACGAGGACTTCCGGCGAGGACGGAGGAAAGAGGCACTGGCGCGACCCATACGTCGTGGCACCTGTTGGACGAGTATTGCAAGTTTCTTCCAGGCCGGAGAATTGTTGTCTTCCATGTTGAGCCTCGGCGGGTGAGCGGTGCGGAGGATATAGACGCAGTTCGGTAGAGAGATACCTGGACATATAAGGATCGGCCTCTCCCTAAATTCTACGGGATTGGGGCTGTCAACAAAGTGATGTCGTTACGATGATGTTGATCCTACTTCACACCGACGCCGCTTCCGGCTGAGTGGTAAGGCCGGACCCATTGACGAACGGTATCGAAAAGACATCATCGACAACCTATCCTGATGGTGATGTGAGAGGCCTGGACGAATGACCGACGAGCTGTCACTCCCCGGCTCGTCGGAAACATAACGAAGATCTTTTCAAAATCGGGAGTAAATCGTAGCGGCTGGAATGGTGCCAAGATCAACAACACCCTAAAGCCGAATGTCTCAGTGTCTCCGCATCTTGTAAGAGACCGGGCCGAGGCCTCGAAAGCGACCCAATGCCATCCGCAGCGTAGACCCAATGCGGAAACTTGGATCAAATCGGTCGGCTAAGTCGTGGTTCGTTAACGATTATGAAGTCATTCCTTCATGTCTCAGGTGGGAGACGAGGTTCTGTGTAGGGTCAGGAGGATAAGGGACTCGCCTATTCAAAGTATGTTTGCGGCTACGAAAATTGATGTCTATCGGGGATCGTCATTGGTAGAACCTGAGCAATGTGAGGCCTCGGGAGAAAGAAGTCATCAAGAGGAAAGAAGCCCAAGAACGAAATGAAGGGCCGTCTACGAACACAGACGTGCTTCTTTTCTCCAGAATTACTTCACGAGGTTTGTTTCAGTTGTAATCTCATCACCCAATATACGGCCTACTTGCTGTTTGATTTTGATTAGGCGTAGTATACGTGAATTTCTTCCGATTCTTGTATCGTCGGATACCTAAGGAAGAGCATCTGACATTACGAGACATCATCTCGCGTGGAAACGTGACTGAATCTAGGAAAACCTGGAGAGCCAAGCTTGCAAGGAAAATGCAACGTTCTAGGCAACATCGTCAATACTTGCCAGTAGAAGTACGAAACCATACGTGGTATACCAGGGTCGACCAATGAAGTGGCATATTTGCCAATTGGAAGCTGCCGCGTGACGCGTCTTCCATCCGTTGCTGATCACGGCTATCATTGAACCTACTGAACGAGACGCGAAGAACGGCAATTTCGGTTTTTCCATGACGATGGTTATGAACGCACAAACCAAATCTAGCTTGCAGATCTTTCACGTCCTCAACTTCCTGTCGCGTTCATGTCTCAGTCAGCGCTCTAATGTCGCAGATCGGTGGGTAACGGGTCGGATCGAGTGGCAGCTCGTGCCGTAGATCAGAGGCAGACCAAGCTTATGAGAAAATCATCGGGCCGGATTCAGCATATTTGCGTAAGGCTTCTCTTTTGACAGGCGGAGGATAATGATTTGCGGGTAGGTTTGATATTGGTTGGATCTTAGCGACGTTAGACTAAACCCAATCCGGTCGACGTTCTGAGAGTCTTGGCCATTCACATCCGGCGAGTGATTGAATGCGGTCATTATTGTTCATTGGATTGGCATCATCACGCGGCCCGAAGTCAATTACCCGACGGAAAGGCTCCAGGGTAGATGTGTTGTTCGGGTGGGGATGTTTATCGTTCGACGGAAGGCTCGAAAGCTTGGGGCTCCTTGTTGGACACTGTGACACAGTAGCAATGAGCTACGTGCCTCTTGCGAACAACGTGTCAATCCGTAGAGAGGATTTTAAAAGTAAGACAGTGGAAGAAAGATATGGAATTCAATAATCGTGCGCAGAAGTCAGCATGTTCAAGGAACGATGCTTGACCATTGTGTTCTTCGAGTACACACGTTGCCTTTGAAGAGTGAAGCGCATGGATTTCCCTGATGATCAACGGTTTTCATTGTTGGGCCTTTAAGAAAATCCCACTGCCACAACCTTGCATTTGCTCCTTTTTGGATGTCTCCTTAAGTTTTCCAAATCACATATTGAACAATATGCGAAGAGTATAGCAGCTCACGACGACCATCTAGCATCTATGAACGATTTTTTTTATTTTGCATCTAGCATATTGTTGTGCCTAGAGTTGTAAAATACCGCTGTAGCTGTCACTATAATGGATGATAAACCGGGCTCGAGACGAAACCCATAGGAAAGGTTAGAGGTCTTCCAGTTGATCCTTTGTGTGAGATTCCATGCATATCGGGCTGTCACATCTTTCTCATTCGCGCATGTGATATTGAGGATCTTCTTGCAGCGTGCCAATAGCTGTGGCTGTCCCCGCCCTATCCAGACTGCCCCTCTCGAATGCCTTGCTGCATGACAGCCGAGATCTCATCAGCCAAGAGCAATCAATATGTACGAGCCAATCAAGAACAAGAAATCGGAATCATGTGCCTAATGAGGGAGCATTGAACGGCAGCCAAAGCATTCTTATTTGTTTCCCCTTGTTGTTCATTGTACGTGATTCGCAACCTAACCAAAGCGATCTCCTGTCCAAACTTTCGTCGTGGGTAGTTAATACAACAACTGCTCGACTGAATTTCAATCCGCTCTATTGCTGCATTTTGCGACTGTGCTGCTCTTCTAACACAGAGATCCATGGATTAGGGCATTGGCCCACCCGCCACCACTCATAAGGCTGTCCCGTTGTGGTCAATCTGCCCCGTTGCTGTCCGAAGCGTCATGCACGAAGAAGCATGTATCTAGAAAGATCATCGCAGAATTCACCACATTCGAGCAGATGACTGCATCAACCTCATCCTTTTTGGATAGCAGCTCATGCGTTACCTCATAGACCCCACGTGGACATTAAGAAACCCAACCTTGCATCCGTCTCGATTCCCCCCTCTCTCGCATTTCAAGTCTTTTCTGTTGAAATTGTTTGGAGCCCTGAGTGCCGACAAAAGGACACTGCATGGTGTCACTCGAGGATTCCACGCAGCCGCTGCCCGCAGTACATGCTAGAATGTCTGGACATTGCCACATACTGATTTCTCATTTATCGATGGATCACATTGTGAATTTCTATATGAAGTGAAAAAGTTGCTTTTCATAGTTGGGTCCTCAGATAACCCGAAAATGCGCGTTCGTAATTCCTTCCTTTCTCTGACTCTTGTGCTTTTCGCCGTTCGTGTCCTCTCCGCACCGATTTTTAACGATGAATTTGCTGCGGCATTACAGAGCATTGGGATCTCACTATTGAACCCTATCCTGTCGGCTGTAAAAGCCGTTCTCTCGGGCCAGGGCCTAGTGCAAGGTGTGCTTGGTGTAGTCGAAGGCGCCCTTGGAACCGAAGCCACATACGACTATGTGGTTGTAGGAGGCGGCACGGCTGGCAACGCCGTCGGCTACAGACTTGCAGAAGCCGGCCACTCCGTCGCCATCATCGAAGCGGGTATTTACTATGAGATCGCTAAGCCCGTCTTGGGGACGACACCGGCTGGCGACATCATTGGCATCGGGTCCAGCATTTATGACACCGTCCCTACAGTTGACTGGGCGTTTCAGACGGAGCCCCAAGTCGGCGCCAACAACCGCAAAATTCACTATGCCCGAGGGAAGTGTCTGGGCGGCAGCTCGGCACTGCATTTTATGATTCATCACAGAGGTAGCAAGGGCTCTTACGATATGTGGGCTTCAGAAGTTGGGGATGACAGCTATCAGTGAGCTTGACACGGTTCGTTCAAAAGCACACACAAAATGCTAATACGCCAAAGATTTGACAACTTCTTACCCTATTTCGAGAAGTCAACAAACTTTACGCCTCCTGATACCACTAAGCGCCGATCAAATGCGTCGACACAATATGATCCTGACGTCTTCAGCTCACCTGGAGGTCCTGTGCAAGTTGGCTACACAAACTGGGTATCAGCTTGGGCGACATGGTTAGAAAAGGGCATGCAAGCGATTGGTATGAACCGCACCACCGGCTTCAGCAGCGGCAATCTCTTAGGATACCACTACTCGCAGTCCACAGTGCGTAGCTCGGACCAAACCCGCAGTTCCTCTGCAGAGTATATATACAAGGCTGTCGACGAGAACCTGGAAAACCTCAAGGTTTATACTCAGACCATGGCCAAACGCATCGTCATCAATGAGAACAGTACCGCTACGGGTGTTGAGGTCAAGTCTCTGGGCCTAGGCTACACTATTCACGCCTCCAAGGAAGTGATCGTCTCAGCAGGTGCCTTCCAGTCTCCGCAGCTTTTGATGGTCTCAGGTATTGGGCCAGCTGTTACTCTCGCCGAGAACAACATTCCTCTCCGAGTAAATCTCCCCGGGGTTGGACAGAACATGTGGGACCATATCATGTTTGGACCCGCCTACGAGGTCAACTTTGACACTCTCAACCGCGTTCTTCATAATCCGGTTGTGCTCGCCCGCAGCCTCATTGACTACATTAGCGACGGCACAGGGCCCCTGTCCTCCAACGTGGTTGAGTTCATCGGTTGGGAAAAGCTGCCGCAGAAGTACCGCGACACTTGGTCGGCGGCTACTCGAGAAGCTTTGTCTCAATTTCCCGATGACTGGCCCGAGGTTGAGCACATCAGTGGTAACGGCTACATTGGCAATTTCCGCTTTCCAGCGCTGCAACAACCACTCAACGGAAAACAGTACGCAACGATCCTGGGTGCTATGGTAGCCCCAGTCAGCCGGGGCAACGTAACGATCAAATCCTCTGACACTGCCGTTCTGCCGCTCGTCAATCCGAATTGGTTGTCTGCCAAGGCTGACCAGGAAGTTGCTATTAGCTGGTGGCGCCGGATGCGCGAGGTTTGGAATACAGACGTGGTGCAAGAAATTGTGATTGGCGAAGAGTACTGGCCTGGCCTGAACGAGGACACCGATGAGGAAATATTGGCTGTAATCCAGGATAGTCTGATGACCGTGTGGCACGCTGCTGGTACCTGCAAAATGGGGAAGAGAAGCGACGATATGGCGGTTATTGATAACGAGGCCAAGGTTTTCGGTGTTCAGGGCTTGCGAGTTGTTGATGCATCCAGCTTTCCTATTCTGCCTCCTGGCCACCCTCAGAGCACCGTTTACGCGCTGGCCGAGAAGATTGCGGCAGGTATCGTAGGTCAAGGGGCTTTGTAAAAAATAGGACGAAATTAGAAGAGGGTTGCGACGAGATGTTAAATCTGGGTTCACAACAACCAGGGGGACTAAAGCTAGAGAGATAGTAGCTGAGCTTACCAAGGAACTGATATCCCCATCAACACTCAGGTGGTTGATGACTGGGTCTTTGGCCAACAGAAGTAAGAAATTTTAAAGAACCTTGGCATGAAACAGAGCCGCCCCATTCTCTGAAAAGTGTCCTTTTTTAACTTCTAACTTCTCACTTATACTTGAGCATATTCTTAGGAAAGTATTGATGTTAGACACTAACATCAGTTGGCAAGTCCTTCACATCTCCCCTATCATGAATACCATAGGATCACTCATCCTCATTTCCAGATCTTGCAAGTCATCGGGCGGCTCCATTCCTTCAGTAGGATCGTAGACGTCTTCATAAGGCCCCAATGGGCCAGAGCCGTCCTTCGTTGACGCGTCTCCCACCTCGGTGTCGTTGAGAGCTACGGTATCCCCCAACAGATTCAATGACGACGGTACTTCTTGTGTATCCTCTTTGAAGGATTCCAATTGCTCACGATCCAAACCCGCCAACGTTTTCCATAGAATTTGGTCGTCTGCCGTCCACTCCCGGTGATCTCTGAGAAGGCTTGCCGCGGCTTCGTGCGCTTCCAGCTGGGCGTACCGGATCGCGCGAAGGTACTGCATGCGATCTCTGTCAGTCGTCCGTGCTCCTAGACTAAGAAGATACTGGATAATATCAATCCTCCCATGCTCTGCCGCACCCTCCAACGCTGTGCGACCTCCGGATTCAGCACCAGGTGCGTTGACATCGGCTCCATGGTCGATCAATGTTCTCAGAATTCCCAGTCTCCCTGAGATCGCTGCAAGCTGTACAGCGGTTGCCCCCCTATATCTGGCGGCGGGAGTATTGACGTCAGCACCGGACTTCAGCAGAAGATCAATTAGGTATAGATCGCTCTTCCCGACAGCTGATTGCAGAGGACTTCTGGCACTCTCCCAATCGTAGCCGTGCACATGACTGTTGTCCTCGTTGACGTCTTCTCCATTTTCCAGCAGAAACCGCACTACATCGTGCTGTTCACGCGCCACAACGTATGACAAGGGTCCTTGAGTGTAACCAGGACAATTTGACAGTCTGGGAGACTTCAACAATGTTTTGACGATGTCCCGGTCAAAATCATTAATTGCCGCACGCATTGTTAACCTGTCGGATTTGTATCCATGATTCAACACGAGAGACAGCGTCTTTATTGACCCAAGTGCGAAAAGGATTGGCGAGGTGAATTGAAGATCGTAAGGTGGTCGGTGCCAGAAAGGCAACCCGTTAATGGCGAATTTGAATGGAGAAAATCTTGGCAGTCCGTTGCACAGTGCTCTGGGTACCTTGGCCAGCATTGGCTGATCAATTTCAGCTAGGAGCATCTCAAGTACTTCCGTCTGGCCACTCCAGGCAGCCAATCCGATAGCGAGCGCTTCTAAAGGTGATGTCTCTTCAGATTGAGGGCGGTTCGAGAGAAGTCGATTAATGGTTATGTTGTCTCTGGAACCTGTGGAAAATAGAACTTTGGCATAAAGGGCGCCGGGATCATAAGCACCTGGATTCAGTGCGAATATCTTGTCCACCGTGTTTTCGTGGCAGGTGATGATAGCCGCTTCTAGAATTGACATGTAGGGATCGTCCCATAAGTCGTGTTGATGAGCATCAAGAACCAATCGCTGTGCCAGGCCAGTGTCGTGTTTCAATGCTTCTCTGAATTGGCAGCAAATGCTATATCTGTAGTTGCTGATTGTTGAAGGCGTCCGGACTCCCCAAGGTGGGTCTGCTCCAGCCTTTGGAGTAATCTTTGCAAGTTCCTGCCCTTCGACGTCTTCTTGGCAGTTTGTGGTGGCACAGGCACCCCAGAGTGGATTCTCCGCTTCTTTATCCAGTAAGCAGTGGGTCATATCGAACCTGTTGAACTCCAGTACTACGTCAAGGGCAGTGAACAAACGGTCCAGTGACATTGCCTGACGCCCCCCCGTTTCCCACTTTCGAAATACAGACCGGGCTTCCCGCAGGTCTTCAAAAACTTCGTTGACATCGATCTTATTTCGGTGTAATGAATGAACGATGTCTAAGCTCCTTCCAGCCACGGCGGAATGTAGGGGGAAAGAAATTTGCTTGTTGGACTCATACGCTTGCACGACCAACGTTTTGCAAGTTTCCAGGTGCCCGTAGTACGCAGCAACGTGTATTGCCGAACTTCCAAGACTCCCTGTGGCGGTGGTATCAATACCGCAGCTGTGTAACTCCTCCAAAAAGGCAGTGTTGCCGTCCGCTGCAGCAAGCAAGACGATGCTTGTCGTGTTGACGGTTTCCGGGATTTGGAACCGATTCTGGATCCCAGCATCTTCTAGCAAGCGAAAGAAGGGATGCAATTCTTGCGGTTCACAGTGGTAATTGGCCGTGCAGCCAATGATGCTGAAAGTGTCGATGAACCAGGCATGACCAGTTGTGGCCCTTATCGATTGGAATATATCAGCTCCATTTCGAATGAGCGCTTCCATCAGCTTCGGTAAATAACGTCCGCAGTTCATCATCATTCTGATAATTGAATCCACGGACACGGTCAAGCGCATCTTCAGCAAGCGTTCAATCATACCCAAACGACCTTCATCAAAGTCATTGTAGTGGCGAACTACTTCCAGCAAAGGATGCATACCTTTGACACTCCCAATCTGACTCCTGAACTCGTCAAACCCGTCCCAGGGCTCAAATGACAAGTTAGGACAAGCCCCATGATCCAGAAGTCGTGACATCAGCTGCAAAGATCTCATTCGAGCTGCCATTTGCAATGGAGTCCAAATAGATACAGAGAAGCCTATAGCCCTATTCATGATGTCTTGGACCCGTATATTCGGGTTCTGGCCGGACTGCAATAACCATTCTATGATCCTTCCGCATGAGGATTTTGACAAGGAGTCGTTGGGTGGCTGCGGTCCGATATTCCGCAAGGCATTCTGAAAAAGCTTTTCCATTATTGCGGTCGTCGTAGCGTCTGTATTGTTTCCGAGCTGGAAAGGTGCCTTCATGATGCCCGAGGTTTCCAGCATCTCGGTGATGTTTTCCCATTCTTCGGATGCCGATGAGACCTTACCTGAAATCGCGTTCCGCCACGGATTGACATGGTTGGTTTGTATCTCATCGGCTAACAGCAGATTATTCGAAATCTTGTACAGAATCATCTTGACATATTCGCTGTATCGTTCGTCGGCCGTGCCCTGGAGAAGTCGACTAGCCCGATCAAAGTTCTCATTCTCGTGAGTCTCTGGCAAGGTGGATCCGATTTCAGCAGCTAGTTGACTAACGCTGCTTCCAGCCGCATATTGAGGAGCAATTAACCGTACCATGTAGGTGAAATATAGGTCGTCCTTCCGGCAACTCAACTCCTTTGATATGTTGTTCATGTTCTTGAGCAAGCCGGGGGCAGAGAATGCTACACAATGTTAAAGACAAGTTTTGGTGAAATCACTAGAAATTGTCAAACTTACCGAGTAGAAAGCTGTCTTGAAACCTGCTCCAAGGAAGACTAGGTGGCCATAAGAATCGTACGGGCAGTGGTGCTGGGGTGTAAAGAGAAATCTCTACGCCTTCGAGGGGAGTTGGACTCCCTATACAGGTTAGCACATAAGAATGTATGATAGGGGTCAGTCAATAAGGCATACGTTGGATGAACCTGTCAAACATGGTTTCTTGGTATCGCTTAATCTCTTTGCAGACCTTGGCAGCATCGACAATTTCCTTGCCAAGAGTGACCTCGGTTTCCTTGCCCTGCTCCTTCCTTCGCCGAACACGACGACCAATGAATTTCCAGACGGCATCGGTCTTGTTTTTGGGTATTCTTCTGCGAAAGCCCCAAAGCTTCAACTTGTATTCGAGTTGTGCCTTGCTACGAATCAGTCAGCAGATGTGATTCAGATACGGCGATGCAGACTCACGTAACCGGGAACCCGTCATTTTCCAGACGCTGTCTTGTCTCGACAAGAGACTTCTTTTCCTCAAGGAACATGCGTTCGATGGTGAATATGTGTTGCAGCCATTCTGCATCAGAAGGCCGCTTGCCGGAAGAGTAAGAAGACATGGCCTTGATGGAGGAGCCAACGAAGTGACAGCTTGTGCACCCGCAGAGAAAAGAGTGGGTGCAGATGGTGAAAGGTATGCAAAATGAACTCAATTCGACGAGTATAAGCGCGACTATGGGTTGTTATGGCTGGCAACGTGAAAGGTGAACAGGAAGGGGGAAGCCGTAGCCTTATAACATCGTAGAACGTCAGCACCAACCGTGTCAATCCTCTGCAATTGGCTGAAGCCAGTATCTGAATCTCAAATTAGGCTTAGGCCATGCTCAAAGTCATTGGTCGAGACCAATGTCTGAAAGCCCCGCTTTTGAGGCTGGTCTTGTGAAATAACGAGGTGGTGTTGGAAGTGTCCTACTTCCTGCATGCCGCGTAGAAGTTCATTGGTCAAGTCCGGTTTCTCAGAAGCTTCCTTAATACGTACTCCATTGCTGACCTCTTCATGCAGCAATAGAAACATGGGCCGACCGTCCCTCAGAATCCCCTAATATAAAGCAAGAGATTGCTGCGATTGGTTCATTCCGCAGTCTGAAAGCTTAGGACTAGCGGCGACGGCGACATCACCGAAATTCGATGTGTGCACATCGACATAGGTCCGCCAGATCCTGTGTTGCGTCTGATTCGTCCATTCCGATGTCTGAAATGGCTTCCAGCATCTCCGTGATCCCCTTCAGGTCCGATGCCAGGCTATAAGATTGCAGATCTCCAAAACTGTCGTTCGCGTTCCTGTTCGTTCTGACGTTAGTTTTCATCGTCTTCAGTATATGGATCACAAATCTTCGTGGTTACTTACCTTTGATCCCTCACAATTCATTTTCCCTGGTTCTTGCCTCTGGATCCTCGACACGGCGGTCGTTGAGATATACTCACGGAAAGAAATCGATATCACCGCCGTTTTGAGTCTCGCCCGCATCCAAAATGAAGATGACTCTGGAAGCTATCATTGCGATCGTTTCGCTCGTCGTTGGGCTTCCGTCAACGATCTTCATTCTTTTTAACTGCTTCATTCACCGAAGTCGTGGTACATTAGAAAACATCGGTTTCTTCAACGAGCGCGTTGCTGACGATACGGCTCCCAGCATCTCGATGTCCCTCGCAGTGCTCACCTACGTCTTTCGACCGTTTACCCTATCAAGAAAGCTTCTCGCAGCAAAGTAAACATCCTACACTCCGTTCTTGGACGTTTGTGGGTTTCGAAGTTGACATCACCAACCAGGCGTGGCATAACCTCCGCCACTTCGCCCCGACGGCGGGTAGTCCACCCAGGTACAGCTTCCGAAGTGTGGGAAATAGGAGAGATTCTTTATCTGTGTGGAATCAAATGAGAGGTGCCGGTTGAATTGGACAATGGGTGGTAGAGTATTCTATTCGTGAGGCGATAGCAGTCTGTAAAAATTAGACTAGAACCGTTTCGACAATGATGACGATGGCCACAACTCGCTCGAATACTAGACGCTTCACGTGGCCGTTAATACAATAATTAAAAGCCAGGACATGGCCCAATCCAGATCGTGATCCACTTTCTGCGTTTTTCTACGTGCCAATTATTGTGCTAGTCAATAGGCAGAAACTCAGTCTCACGTGAAGAGGGTCCAGACGAGGAAGTAAAGTAGCAGACCTCATATTATCTTTCAATACTACCGCTAACCCCAACTTCGAGGTTGGGAAAACAAGACACGATCTATCCGAATCTGCACCCGATGCATGAGCTCAGAGTTTCGATCGATACTAGTCTTGGGATATCTCATAACGAGTGAACCAATCACACCACATCCGTCCTTCATCCTGGGTATTCCTCCACACAAATTACGTCCGCGCGCTATCAGTCAAATCTAAGCCGAGTTGGAACCATTGTCCTTCTTCGACTCGCTGGCGACAGCGATGATCGCGGGAGGCTTGGGAACCTTCTGGCGGAAGACGTGGCGCTTGAAGAAGTAGGGAATAGAGTACTTGATCTCGTGGCTGATGAATTGCTTCGTCGGGACGGAGAAGACCTCTGGTAGTAGGGTTAGCAAAGCCACGCAATGCAGGTGAGGACAGGTCGACTTACGATCCAACTCTTCCAAGGTGAGTTGCTTAGTCTCTCGGACGAAACAGAAGATCATGAACCAGGCAATCAAGTTCAATCCAGCGTAGAAGCCAACTGTGGCCGACAGGTCAGTCGCAGAATTTAGGACCCAAATCACTTGGAATACTTACAGGCACCAGTTGGAGTCATGGCAGTGCTCATGCGCGGGAAGGTCAAGCTAAGAATACCAGCTGTGCAACTTGTTAGTCTAACACCCCAAGTGTGAACTGTTGCTAGACTTACCGAAGGTGTTGTTGATGCAAACAACCCAGGCCATTCCCTGCTCACGCTGGATGGTAGGGAAAACTTCGGCGGAGTACTGGAAAGCGACGGGGCCTTCGCCGAGGGAGTAACAGATGGTGAACAGGTAGATGAAACTGGATCGCAAGAGTGTTAGTCTAGGTAAGCAATACATACGAGTGGTGATACTCACAGAGCGACCGGTCCAATCTTTGGTCCACGATCTGTAGTGGGGTTCAAAAGGGACAAACCAGCAGCCAAGAGGAAAATGCACATCAGAGGGAAGGTCTAAAATTGTTAGTCATGTTCAGCAACTTTGATTCATGTTGACTCACGATCATGCAGAGAGTCCTTCGGCCCTTTGTGTCAATGAGGAACAGGGTAGGGATCGTCGCAACAACTTGGATGGCTCCGTAACCCAGAGAAGCATACAGGGCCTCCACGGGCGAGTATCCCGCGTTCACGAAAATCGTAGAGCTGTAGAAAGAGATGATGTTGATTCCGCACCTACTCGGGTCAGCATGACAAGTCAAGGTATGATGAAGGTTGGAAGGGTTCGTACATTTGCTGGGCAAGCATCACAGTGCTAGCACCGTAGTTGGCACGTCTGATTCTGGGAATGGAGAAGCAGTCCCAAAGGCGGCGGAAGTAACCAGCGCCACGGGCCTCCTTGAGCTCCTCCTCGTAGATAACCCACGAGTAGTAAAAGTCTCTGGCGCCGATAATGTTGTGCGCGCGAAGCTTGCACATGGACTTGAAAGCCTCGGCATGTCGGCCGTGCTTCATGAGCCAACGCGGGGACTCGGGGCAGAAGAAGATGCCAGCAGCCAAGACGAAGGATGGGATGAAGGCCGAGCCGAGCTGCAGGCGCCAGGAGATGTCGCCGGTGTCCTTGACGATGACGTTTGCGCAGAAACCCAGAAAGATGCCTGCGACGACCCAGAGTTGCCAGAACATGACGAGGGCGCCGCGGACTCGGTGGGGGGCCATCTCAGCGGAGTAGATGGGGACGGTGGCGTTCTTCGCGCCGATGCCGATGCCCATCACGAAACGCGCCGCGAAGAGACCCTGCCATGTTTGCGCGAAACCGGAGCCGATCGGGGTGGCAGTCAGGCACAGCGCCGTGATGAAGATCTCGCCGCGGCGACCGAAGTAGTGGTTGAGAGGATCGACGATGAAAGCGCCGCTGCGATGCGCGTGGTTAGCAATTGCGATAAGAACCGGGGAACGAATGTGACCAACATCAGACCAGCCGTAAGGAAGATGATAGAATTGATCAGACCAATGAGCCACTCATCTCTGGAAGACCCGCTGTCGATGCCAAGGGCCTCGTGGAATGTCAGGTTGGCACCGTTGGAGCCAGTCTGATCCCAACCCTGCGTGGCAGCTCCGATGGCACAGAGGCCGATCGAATACCACAGCATCTTCGGGCCGTGCCATTTGTGGTCCCGCTCGTATTCGAGCGCCCGGCGCTCTTCTTCGGAGAGGTCTGCGACATCGTTGAAGTTGTTCATGTCGCGCGCGACCATAGCCGCGCGGCCGAAGAGGGCGGCATGTTCACCCAAGTTGTGGCTCTCGGCAAACGCCACCGCGTCTTCAACGGTTTGCTGTGGGGATTTGCGCTGCGAGAAGGCGGCGTGTCAGCAGGTTTTTGGGGCGTTTCTCGATTCATGATCCTGGATCTTGGCGCAAAACTCACCTTCAGCGGGTTCTCGACGATGTTGAGGGCGGCGGCCTTTCCACCTCCAAGCCCCTCGGCGAGCTCCGTCTGGGGCTTCAAATCCCCGGTGTCCTTCTCGAACGCACCGTCCGAGTGAGGAACGGCGTCGATTTCGTTGACTCCCATGGTGAGCTTGGCAGCGTTCAGATTAGCTTGGCGGGATCCAGAAATTGAGGCTGTTCACTGCGGGATTGTGCGACGTGCGCCAATTGATCAACGTTGAGCCAAGTGAGCCAAGTAGGGCCAAGCAACGGGGACGACCATGGCCAAGTCTTATATATTTCCGGGCAGAAGGGCAAACAGAGTGTCTCTCCAAGAGGCGGCTCCATTAATCATGCTTTCAACACCAAAACCCCAGACGCTTCTGCTCCCCCGCTCTCCGCACTGGGGTAAGCATGGGGATCCATCCATCAAAGGCACCAAAGGCACCAACATGAGGAGATGATCATCCGTCTCATTCCCCCTCGTCTGATATTTGGGCGCGTCGGGGACATCGGGGCCCAGCTGGACCCAATTTTGTCAGCGAACTCGACCTCTCGAGGCAGTTGGGAGCGCGCGTTCGCAGGAGTTTGCATGTTTTCATTGGGACGTTGGAGATGAAAGAGTGGGAACCGACAAGGCTAGTGTCGCTGACCGTGGCTTGGCCTTGCGTCCTCCAAGTGAGGAGTCCCGTCGAGGATGGTCGAGCCGTGTTTCCAACAGTCGTCATAGCTGATTGGGTGCCGTGGCCGTCATCGGCTAAAGATGCGGCATGCCTCCCCAAGTCATCGGAGCGTGACGGAGACACAAACCTGCGCCATAGGTTCACAATAGTGGGCCGTGTGTGCGACGGTTGTCATCCGCTATTCCCAGCGTAGCAATGAATGACACTCAATGGCGTATTACCTTGGAACGAGGCACTTTTTGTCATATTCCTTCTACCGGACAGAGTCCGCCCACCCGCATATTTGCCCGAGACTGTGAGGTTCCAAGGAAAT